TACTAATTTCTTCACTGAATTCGTAATTTTGAACTTGTTTAATGATTATGAATTTTGCTTGTTTTATCTCATTGATTAACAAATAAGGTGATTTACTGTTTCTGTACATAAATCGTCGCATCCAACCAATTATCCTGATAATTTTTGTTAATGAACTGTATTTTGACAGAAGCTCACTTACTAAACTGTTTTGAAGTCGATGTGCCGTATTAACGGATTTAATTTTCCGCAACTCTTGATCTGTGGAAAAAATATTTTCATTTATATCTTGCTTTGATTGATAAGTGGGAAGCCAACTAGGACCGTTCCACCAAAGTGTATGATCTCTGAGTTGAGACGCTGTGAGCCCTCTACTGGCACAGTCGGCAGGGTTCTCGCTGGATTTAACGTAGTTCCAACAGGATTTCGGTAGTGTCGCTGTTATTTGCTTTACCCTATTAGCTACGAAGGGTTTCCATCTTTCTGTTTCGCCATGCAGCCAACCAAGCACGACCATGGAGTCGGTCCAACCATACTCAGTAATATCATGATCGGATAAGCATCCCCTGATTTTCCTCATAAGTTTAGATAATAAAACTGCGCCGCAAAGTTCTAAACGGGGTAATGAAACTTTTTTGCTGAGAGGTACTAATTTTGTTTAACCTGCTATTAGTATTATTGTACTGTCTGTTTTATTTTTCTTACAATAAACGACGCAACCGTAGGCCTTAGTGCTAGCGTCGCAAAACCCATGAAGCTCGATTTGATCCTTTTCTTTGGTGCGGAACCATCGAGGTATGTTAAACTGATTAATGATAGAAATATCTGCTTTTATCTTGTTCCATTCCTGGTAGATATCTTGCGGCACCTGATCATCCCATTGCAGTTGAGCTTTCCATATTTCTTGAAATAATATCTTAAGTTTTGTTGTGAGCGGAGAAAGCCAACCGAGAGGATCATATAATTTGGAGATGTCTGATAATAAAGCTCTTTTTGTTAATTTTGATGTTTCAGTTAATTTAAACTGAAAGGTAAAACTGTCTTGCTGTGGGTTCCATCCGAGACCTAAAGTTTTCGTGGATTCGACTTGCTTAAAATCAAAATTTTCCTGTTGAAATACAATTTCATTTACGTTTTCTAACAGTTCCGGTGAATTAGATTTCCATTTACGCAAATTAAAACCACCTCTTTCTAATAAACTAATAATATCGGCCTGTAATTGTTTTGCAGATTGTAATGAGTATGTACCATGTATCAAATCGTCCATGTAAAATGACTCCTCGATAACACCGGGCGCCGCGCTGTCTGGATAATTTATTCTTTCATCACGGGCTAGACGTTTCAGCGTCATCATAGCTAGAAAGGGAGCGGCCTTGGTACCATATGTTACTGTAGCTAAATGATATTCCTCTATCTTTTTAGTTTCACTGTCACGCCATATAATCATCTGCAAATTCTGATCATCTTTATTTATCCATATCTGCCGGAACATTTTCTCTATATCGGCCGTGAAAGCAAATTCATATTGCCGCCATTTAATAATTAAACATTGTAAATCCTGCTGTAAATTCGGGCCGCGGCACATAACGTCGTTTAGACTGAGCCCAGACGATGTTTTGTCTGATGCGTTAAATACAACCCGTAATTTAGTTGTAGTAGAGTCCTCTTTTGTTACGCAGTGGTGAGGTAAATAGCACCTGAGTTTCATATTGCAATCTACAGCTGACGGTGTCATGTGGCCTAGTGATAAATATTCATTTATAAACTGCTTGTAATCTCTCGCGATCACATAATTTAATTGTAATTTCTTTTCTAACTTATAAAACTGTGCAACCGCCTTAGATTTTGAATTACCTAAATTGTTCTCATATCCGGTTTTAAGTGGCAACCTAACTTCGTATCTCCCATCTGAACGTCTGATAGTAGTTGACTGATAAAACTGTAAACATTGTTCGTCTTCTGATGATACTTCTGATTTTTCTGATATGTCCTCTATCTCCCAAAATTTCTGTATTTGTTCGATATTGTGCAAAACCACATTACATTGAATAGTTCTTACATTGCCACTTAATATCCACCCGAGCTGCGTTTGTTGAGCAGTGGGGAGGCTCGCGTCTGATTTACATATTCCATCCATTAATATAAAAGAATAAATATCAGCGCCCAATAAAACATCTACAGGCCTGCTTTTATAAAATTCAGGATCTGCTAGTTTTATATGATCCAAGTATGACCAATCTGGCTTTGAAAATGTATAGCTTGGCAAATTTCTTATCAACTGATTCATTATTAAAGCGTCTGTTTGAAAAGTAAAGTCACTAACAGCTGATGAACATCTGATATTTATAATACCCTTACAGTTACTCTCTTTATCACCAATCCCAGATATAACACCCTTGCATGGTTTTCTAGGTACTTTCAAGATCTGTGCTGCATGTTCTGATATCAATGACGTTTGTGAACCCTGATCCAATAGGGCGCGCATGGCATAATAGGAACCATCCGCGGCTTGAATATTAACAATGGCGGTTGGTAACAAAACTTCGAACTGGTCACCTTGCAGCGACACGTGTGAGCTACTTCTGACTTGTCTTCCCGCGTCAGCATTTATAGTTGCGTCAGCGGCCCTACACTCACGCGTGTTCGAATTCTGCCCGCCGCGGACGTTCTGTGTGATTGGGCGGGCGGTTTGCGTGAATGCCTCGTGAAGTAGGCGATTATGAGCCTTATTACAAAGACGACAAAAATTCTCAGATAGACATTGTTGACCCTTATGATTATATAGACAATTTTGGCAAAGATTTAATTTTTTAACAGTGTTTAACTTGTTTTGAGGCGTCATTTCCAAAAATTGTGGACAGAAATAAATTCCGTGGTCTGTACTATTGCACAACACACAAAAGTAACTTTTAGCTGATACGTTCTTTTTGTAGTTAGGTACTTGTGGATTTATTTTACTGCTTGCAAATGCATTTTTATAGTAACTGGGTCGCTGTTTACTGATATTATAATATTCGTTTTTATTCGTAATATGATTTTTTTGCATCGGAATTTCCGGTTTCCTTCTTGAAGCTTCTAATGACGTAAATTTGGCTTCCAAAAACTGTAAAAATTCTTTCAAATTTGGTATTTCTCTCGGATCACGCAATGATTCCATGTAGTCTGTATATGAAACTGTATCTAATTTCTGAGTTAATAGATGTACTATAATGGGGTCCCATGACGAAATGTTGACTCCCAAATTTTTTATCGCATTCAGACTTTCCTGTATAGTATCGTGAATACGTTTTAAATGACTCGCCGATTGGTGTTGCATAGTGGGAAGGCCCATCAAAATATTCATATGGGAACTAAATATAAGTTTTTTATTGTTATATCTTTGATTTAATATATCCCAGCAAACTAAGTAATTATCAGAGCTAATGTTTAAATGTTGGATTAATCTCTCTGCTTCGCCCTTTACTTTAGACTTCAAATATTGCATTTTTTGTGCGTTAGATAACGAGTTATTATTATGTACTGTTTCACTGAATAAATCTTTAAAAGATACCCAATTATTATAATTCCCGCTGAATGTTGGGATCTCCATCTGAGGTGTAGACTTTTCTCTGTGGGCCACAGACCACATTTTCTTGTTAATGGCTTTTTTAACAAACTGGTACTTACTTTCATAAGAAGTATATGTTTTTTCATACTCTTGATTAGGTTCATTGGAGTGACTATCTAACTCCCAATGCAGTGTGTCGATTGCGGCCCACCTAGATTGGATGCTGTGGAGCAGATCTTCAAATTCCCATCTCTCATTCACTGTTTCAAGATCAATACCTACAACAGTCCTGTGGAACGCCTTAAAGTTGCTCTGTTGCTTCTTTAGCATGCCCTCAAATACACTTGACGTTGCAGTTGATGTATTTTGAACTGCTCTGCTACTGCTCGGCTGTGTGAAGCCCTGACTCGGATTCGGCAAAAATGTTGGTGGCTTGATAAGAGGTGACGAAGGTCTCTCCTCAGCCGTCACCTGACAACTTTGAATATGAGCTCTGATATTACCGTACCTTTCTCGCACTCTCTCCAAATCACTGTTTACATGGTCTCTCATCGATGGCTCCAACTCAAAAGCTGATAACTTGGAATAATTGGATTCATACTCAACCCAGTAACTATCGAGTATATCCAATCTTTTCTTGATGTAGTCGGCGGTTTTCCTGCTAGCTCCGTCTTTTTTGAAATTGGTGTACACATTTTCAATCGCCGCCGCGAGCTGCTGAAGATTTGCAGAGATGTCACTGACAGATGACATTACTGTTAATGTATAAATGGACAGATCTTACTTGATATACTGATGCTGTGTGGCTTACGACTAAGCTTACGACCCGTGGAAGATGAGTCGTATCCTTTGCTGTCGCTGATAATGTTGAAAATCCGAAAACTTGTTCTGCACTGCACTTGGTAATCCTGATTCACTGATTAAGGTCTATATATTTGGTAGTAACTGCTGAATGTACTGTATCTGCACTGATTCAATAGTTCGGTATCGGAACCTGAGACACGTATGCGATAAAGTTCACTCACACGCGACACGTGTGTACTGATCCCGCTTTTCCGAAAAGCTTCGAAGGACCAATGTACGGGGAGCCCGTAACATAAAAACTGATAAAACTGATGAAATAATAAAACTATAAATAACTTTGAAACTAGGATATATTTGATTTACTATAAACTGATTAAACTAATGAGGACGCGTGGTATGATTGATGACGGAATGCGAACTGAACGATGCAAAATAAATTATGAATTATACGTAAATTAGGTTAATAAAGAAACGCTGCGTCGGCAATGTACGCGCTTGCTCGTACACACAGATTACCTCTGTAACCATAAACAATTGTCTGCTACAGATATTGTGATGTTCTGACCTATACTGCGATTTCTTTTCTTTTTGTAACAGGAGTTACAAAAAGAAAAGAAATCGAATATTTATTTTCACAGAAACAATCTAGGAATCATAGTTTTTTACTCACATAAAGGTGCTTGTACATTGCGTGGTGTTCCTAACATATAGACGTCATGTAATGCCAATGCCATGTGAACACCATGTACTTGGTATCTGAAAGCCAAATATTATAATTTTCCATTGATGCTAAATAGTACCTTGGTGTCAATTCTACCATGATTCTCTAAATCTTAACTTAAATTTGACAACAGTGTATCCTTGCCATTTTCTATATAGAATGAAAAGGAGAGAATGATGTTAAATTTATTTTTAAATTTAGAGGATTACGCCAGAATTGATACCATTGCATCTCTTCAGAATATAAATAACCTTAAAAATACTTGATTCACTTCAACTGTTCTGTTCTTCAAAAAAGCTGTCTGTACAGGATCATTATGTTAATTGAAATTTATTTTATTATATTTACAAATACAGACCTTGGTATTCTGGAGAGGAATTCGATGGCTGGTTCGAATTGCCCAGTCAAGGTCAGCACTTGAAAGTACACCAGAGGCTTTTCGTATGCATGGTAGTGGGTCTCACCTGTCATTAAAACAATCCTTTAATTTTGAAAACTTTTTACAGAAAAAAAACAGATTTCATAAAAAACGATTAAAAATAGAAAATACATTTTAGACTTTGAAGTACATTTATAGAAAACTCAGATCTATCAGACATGCATGGCCAAGACATTGACATTTTTAATTTATTTTTCATGGATTTCCTATTAAATGAGTATACTTAAACTATGTTATATCTTCTGAAAGGTATTATAAATTAAAATAGCAAATATGCTGACCTCATTATATTTTGAGGATACAAAGACTGTTTATCTGTATATTTTTATGCCGGCACTTCACTTAGCTATTCGTATTTGCTATTTGTAAAGTTGACAACAGTCTGTACTTATCATATTTTATAAGTAATGAAAAAGACGGATAGATGCGAAGTTTACAAATAGCAAACACGAATAGTGAAGTGGCGCCATTTATTACTACTACTTGTCTATATATATAAAAATCAATTGCTGTTCGTTAGTCTCTCTTACACTCGAGAACGGCTGAACGGATTTATCCTATCTTGGCCTTGAAATGTTCGTGGAAGTCTAGGGAAGGTTTAAAAGGTGAGAAAAATAATTATATAAAGAGATTCATTGTATATAATACAAGCCTGAGAACAAAAACTATAGTCTACCTACACTACAGCTCCACACCGAAGCGAAGCGAGGGCGGGCCATTAGTTACTGATAATTATGAAAATCTCACCATACTCCTCCAAAATAAGTTTTTGCAGGTCCGAATACGAGAAGAACTCTCCTTCGTTGTTGGTTCGCGACTTGATGAGCGATAGCTTAAGCCATAAATAGTCATCGGCGGTTCTCGCCACCTCCGTATGTTCGTCGCTTACGTCACAATGCCCTATAACGCAGTACACCTGAAATCATTATATTTTAAACTCCCCGGTAAACTTCTTGAGCAACGACCATAGACAAGCAAGCTTGTGCAGTAGCAAATTTAAATACATAAACGACTACTGCGCATTAACTATGCGCAGTAGTCGTTTATGTATTTTTGTCTGTGGTTTTGCTCAAGAAGTTTGCTACCTATACTTGCGATTCCGCGACTTCGTCTGCATGGAAAAATTGGATTCCCATACAAACTTCCACCATCTTTTACAATCCCATAAAGGATGATTTCTGGGATAAAAACCATCCTTTTTCCTTTCCCCTCACTCAAAATATCTTTGTACCACATTTCAGGTAACAGAGAGACACACTTTTGCATATATAAATAATAGTATGAATTATATGATAAAACGTTCAAATATTTTTGTTAACTGTAAACAAATTACCTATGTCAAAAGCAGTTGATTCAAAACATAAAATTAAATGGCTAAATTGAAGTTTTTGTTTTTTATATTTATATAGAAATGGGACTAGTTTAGCAGACAGTACAGAAAAGGAAACCGCTAAATCTTTACTCACTGCTCTCTTGTATGGGTCTGTAGAATTGCGCACTTGAATTCTATATTGAAAGTTTATTGCAGTTTGTAATTTATCACTAAGGGGATTCTCAGGATTTCTGATGTGTTCCTCCAATGCCGCAACAAACTCCTCATGGTCTCGTCTAGAACAGAAGAAAATAAATAACCCTTTACTGTCTTTAAAGGTTTTAGAAAAAAATATTCACACTACTATTATTTTATATTAGTTTTATTCACACTTTTATTTACACCATGTATTACAACTTAGCAGAAGAACACTTATATCTCTGGACGAGTCCGTCATATAATTGTGAACCATCACTCCACATACTGAAATAGTTGTTTATGATATTAGTGCGGTAAGTTGGTTGAGGGCTTCCCATAATCACGAGTTTGTAAATAAGAATTCAGCATGAATGTCATACAAACAAACACATTTGTGAGAAAAGAGTACCTATATCTAATTTAAGTAATGAAGCAAACTTTAACTAATAAGAAAACAGCGCGCATTTCCAAATGGCACCACGTGCGGGTAGTGAAAATTAAAACTACGAGTAGGTACATCTTTCTTCTCTTTTCTTTATAGTATTAAAGTGAAACAAAGGTTCGATTAAAATAGTTTCCAAGGAGATTCGACCGACATTTAAAAAAAACATAAAAAATACGTAACGCGCCATGTATGGGAGTCGCCCGTAATTTTTAACATCGAACAATGTATACAATCTCCGTAAATGCATTTTCTGAGCAAACATGTTAAAAAGTTTATTTAATCACCAAATATACGTAACCGCACACCCACCCGCGTGTTGTTAGTTTCCACATTTACTTAGAATAAAGTACTTCTTACCCAGCTTTTCTCAAGCAGAGCATCGCCGCATTAGCGTCTCCGTTGCGTAAGCAATAAAAGACCATTGGTCAGAGCGGACGTTCGTCGATGACGCCATCTGTGAGCCCTTGGACGCCCGACCCTTGCAACAGGAGTTCTACGAAGCCGCGCACCAAAGGATTGTTGGTGTTCACATTTACTGAGAATAAAGTACTTCTTACCCAGCTTTCCTTAAGCAGTGCATCGCCGCATTATCGTCTCCGCTGAGTAAACAATGATCCGTTGGCCAGAGCGGACGTTCGTCGATGACGCCATCTGTAAGCCCTTGGACCCCCCGCCCTTGCAACCGGAGTACTACGAAGCCGCGCACCAAAAGATTGTTAGTGTTCACATTTACTTAGAATAAAGTACTTCTTACCCAGCTTTCCTTAAGCAGTGCATCGCCGCATTATCGTCTCCGCTGAGTAAACAATGATCCATTGGCCAGAGCGGACGTTCGTCGATGACGCCATCTGTAAGCCCTTGGACCCCCCGCCCTTGCAACCGGAGTACTACGAAGCCGCGCACCAAAAGATTGTTAGTGTTCACATTTACTTAGAATAAAGTACTTCTTACCCAGCTTTCCTTAAGCAGTGCATCGCCGCATTATCGTCTCCGCTGAGTAAACAATGATCCATTGGCCAGAGCGGACGTTCGTCGATGACGCCATCTGTAAGCCCTTGGACCCCCCGCCCTTGCAACCGGAGTACTACGAAGCCGCGCACCAAAAGATTGTTAGTGTTCACATTTACTTAGAATAAAGTACTTCTTACCCAGCTTTCCTTAAGCAGTGCATCGCCGCATTATCGTCTCCGCTGAGTAAACAATGATCCATTGGCCAGAGCGGACGTTCGTCGATGACGCCATCTGTAAGCCCTTGGATCCCCCGCCCTTGCAACCGGAGTACTACGAAGCCGCGCACCAAAAGATTGTTAGTGTTCACATTTACTTAGAATAAAGTACTTCTTACCCAGCTTTCCTCAAGCAGTGCATCGCCGCATTAGCGTCTCCGCTGCGTAAACAATAATAGACCATTGGCCAGAGTGGACGTTCGTCGATGACGCCATCTGTGAGCCCTTGGACGCCCGGCCCTTGCAACCGGAGTCCTACGAAGCCGCGCACCAAAGGATAAGTGCCGGGCTCGCCGCCGCGCATCGCTGCTGCAGGATTGGCGCGGACTACATCGCTCATGTACTGCTTGTATCTGAATCGAAGTTATTTTTCTATTTTGTTAAACAGGCAAATGGCCCACCTGGGGGCCAATCGGTTAACGTGATTGCTATAGCTATGGCTGTCACTTACGATTTCTTTTTGTTATTTCTGAATGCCTAATGTTTTTAAATATCTCATGCTCATTTTCTTTAATATTATTGATACTAATGAAAAAGAAAAAAAAAGTGCAAGCTGCTATTTGAAAACCTTCAACTATCAGAAATAACAATATGAAATCGTAAGTAGCGATAACCATAGCAATCCCGTTAGGCGTTTGGCCCCCTGATGGTTAGCAGCCATTATAGCCTATAGACGCTTGGCATACCAAAGATATCACTTGCACTGTTGTCTACCCAGACCCAATACTCTATCCCATAGAACTCTGTACTTTATTGTCAATGTTAAAGTTTAAACCAGTGAATAAAACAGAGAAAATCTATTCATTTGTATTTCAACTAGATAAGACTTAATTTATAAATACCTACCTTTTCTCCAAATATTTTTTTCCTTGTGCAATAAGACATTGTTGTATTGTAGGATTACCCCTAGCTTTAAGAGGATCTTCATCTCTGACCAAAGCAGGTATGTTAGCCATAGTCTTTATAACTTCCCACATTTCCTTTACTTTCTAAAATGAAGAAACCAAACAAATTATTATTGCATACTATAATTTTTTAAGCATTTAACTGTTAACAGTTATAGCTAATTGTTTAAATCTAAAGAATGTTTAACTAGAATTGTAAGCACATTGAACATTTAAAGAACATTGAATAGCGGAAGATTTGGGTTCGAAACCTGGGAATATCGGCTTCGAGATAATATCGAAAGTAGGGATATCTATTGAAAATATCTACTGATGGTAAAAAATGCTATTCTCGTGGATTTTCGATATTCCAATTATATTATATCTATCGTAGATATTCTTTCACTGCCGAAAGCGTTCCGTTTTTCTCGATTAAGTTAATATCATAGTCTATATAAAATAATAATAAATTAGAGCAGAATTTTACAAGCAACAAAATGATATTTTATATTTTATGAATTCCATTCATATTAAATATGAGTATACATTTTTTGAGTATGAAAATGAAATCTCAACTTTACCTAAATTGTATGCGTTTAAAATTTCAACGTTATGTATAATGAAACGTCAATATTATTTAAAATTCTCCCTTTTCAGGGAAGGCAAAGGGAACAATGCCCATACAGCCTAATCTTTAGTTATATTCTTCTTTTTTACATTAGAATGTAAGTGTGATGCATTCTAATGTTTCTTGGAGTGTTTGGCACGAAATTTATGGAGCTGGCTTTTACTCTAAGCTTCTGTGAGGTAGTCAACACTACAATAAAGTTCTCGCGTCCACTTGACCGGAATAGCGTATATTTTAAAGATTCCACTAATTCTTCAGTTGCGCAGACGGTTGTAACACCAAATCACACCAATTTTATTTCACAATATCCACTATGAACGAATTTTAGAATAATTAAAATAAGACGCCAACCGCTCTCGCAGAAATAAAAAACTTCGTATCGTCAATAAGAAAATGGTGTCGATTCTGGCATGATTCTCTAAACCTAAACGTAAATTTGACAACAGTGTATCCTTGTCATTCTCCATACAGAATGAAAACGAGAGACTGATGTTAAATTTAGTTTTAAGTTTAGAGAATCGTGTCAGAATCGATACCAATGTCATTGATAACTTTAAAGATTTCTAACGAAATTTTTGTTTAAACGTAATTTTTTTATGAAGTCCGCGTCCCTCATTTCAAATGGGCCCTCTTGCTCGCACAACGGCGGCGCCTTAGCACAGCAGCAGCAATCACGTAATTTATTAAATCATTGACGAAAACATGAATCAACTCATCCATCGTTAATATAAACCGGTGTCGATTCTGGCACGATTCTCTAAATCTAAACTTAAACTTGACAACAGTGTTTCCTTGTCATTCTCTATACAGAATGAAAAAGAGAGACTGATAATAAATTTAGTTTTAAGTTTAGAGAATCACGCCAGAATCGACACCATTGTTTACCTACTTCTTTATTTACTAATTATTTATGAAGGCAGTTAACAACATCTTGAGGTAACAATAACTGGCAAAGACACACGACAACACAATAAATAATAGGTAAAAAAAGTGGAAATAACAAGATTGACATGCCAAGATCCATAGATATTTATATATCGAAGGCTCTTTACCAGTCGATGTATGTCTACTGATCATCCGTAGATAAATATCTATTGCGACATGGTGAGAATAGGGCAAAAAGGTTTTCCTTCGATAAAAGCCAGATCATTCGATATATATCGAAGGTGATATAATATCTATGCCGCGAGAATTGGCCCCCTGGACTGAGTGGAATTTTTCACACAAATTGTAATTATTTTTATTATACAGTGGAACCGGTTTAGTTTTTGGAAGGAAAATAATAAACACGTCATACTAAGTAGACAAACAATGCGCGACCTACACTATCAATTACCCACTGAGACTCAAAACAAAAACACAAGCCCCCTTCAAACGTTGTCGGATATCACGTCATGGACTCTCCCAATCACCTCTCTGCCGAAGGTATTAGGAATAATGTTGGTCACAATAACAGGACACAATTTTTTTAAAATGGGTGATATAAGCTACATGTCACTCTCAGCCACGTCATTATATCCGACTTTGTTATAAGGAATTTTTAAACTTCAATGAATGAATTCAATCAAACTTTGCTGTGTAATCACTGAATAAAAAGCAGCATAATAAATGGCTTCTGCTGTACTTTGCACCATAATTTTGTCAGCAGTGTTATAAGGTCCCGTGGCCTAATGGTCACTCAGAGATAAAGCTGCTCTTTTAAATAATAATAATAATCACAACTAGCAACTACTATAAAAATATAAAGACAGGAGTATACATACTGGATCATTAAATTCTTCTGCCACTTGTGCAAACTTCTGATGCAGTGCTGTCCTAGATTTGGACCCTTGGAACACAAGTTTATTGTATTGATGCACTTGTCGTGCATATGCAACTTCAATACTGTCCAGCATAGAATGGCCAAACTTCTTTGGAGTGTTAGCAATGCTTGGTGGTTCAGGAATTCGTTTCAAGTCCAACCAGTTCTGGGATGGCCCTATCATGGCATTCATAAGTTTAATTTTTTCTCTGTTCCACTCTGACATCATATGCTCCCATTTCTGATCTTCAGCAGTTTGAAGAGACTTAAATAATTATATATATTATAGTATCATTAAGAAAAAAAATATGAAAGCAACAAAAGAACTACATAAAATAATACTCACATTTTTATTAACTTCATCAATTAGTGACAGTATAGCATTTTCCCTCTCATTTCTGAGAAAACTTTCAATATCAGAGTCTGCAATTGGTTGTAAAGGTTCAAAGGTGCGTTTAGAACTTAAGGTTTCTAGTTTTTGCGATATTTGTTGTAAATCTATTCCTTTGGAGCCAAATAAAAGATGCCTGAAAGAATAGAATACTTAGTGGTAATTTTTCCACATACATTTTAAAATCATTTGGTCTTTCTATTACAATTATTGGTAAAGCCTACGATTAGGTATAAGAGCTATATAATTAATAATTGATGAATATGAGAAACATACGCTTGAATGTCGTTGGCGCCAGACTGTATAAATCTTGAATAAAGTTCTTGAGAAGCTTCGAGGACCTGACCAAGCGAACGCTCCACTCTGGGCAATTCTTCATTGCCTTCAATTTCAGTAGTTAATTGTTCGGCTTGTTGTAGTAATTTGCTAAAATCTTCATCCGCCATGGCTAAGCTTAGTAGGTTATGTTTTGTGTTTAACGGAATGACTACTGCACATTTACAACCGAGAGGAAATTTATACTATTTATGGTAGAAGTATATATTATAAATGAGACTATAATAGAAGAAAATCGTTGAGTTACCTCCTTAAATTCAAAGAAATTGGAAAATAAACAACCGGCGGGCTAGTGCTACTATTTGACAATTTCACAATGACATTATTATGACAGAACCACAGACTACACAGTGGACATGACATAGGTATCGATTCTGACATGATTCTCTAAACCTAAAAATTATAAACTTAAATTCACAGACATATAACTAGTAGCAGACGGAATATGCAGTTTTAAACAGCGTGGCAAATACACACACATTGAAACTCACCAAAGCATGGGCCGCATTTAGTATAGTAGAATAATGGATTTCATTATTGTTTCATGAAATACCTATCCGAATAGATAGGTCCTAATGTGATGTCCATCCATGCTAATAATATTATAAATGTAAAAATCTGTCTGTTTAATATCTTCATGGCGAATTTCGCCAGGCGAAATCGCTGAACCGATAATGATGAAATTGAGCACGGAGATAAATTAACACAGGGAAAGGACAAAGGTACAATTAGGAAAATTGAAATAAAAATTTAAGGCATAGTTTTTATCTATTTATTTTGAAATAATACAAGTTTTTTTTAGAAAATTTCTCTGAAATACATTTGTTTCTTTACATTGATGTTTACATCTAAGATCAAAATAAAATTTGACAACAACTTTAATAAGCAAGTGGACATGGTTTATGTCATGATCTGAATTGTTTGAGTCAAATAGTGAATAATCGACATAATCACATTTAATCAAACTATTAAAATCATTACTTTTGTTTATTTTAAAACAAAAAACACTATAAGTATTTGGTTGCCAATCCTGACGTTTCATATATTTTAACCATGCATTCCGAGTACTTTCATCCTTTGGAAACCTAGAACAAAATTGTTTATGTGATTATTTGGGTTAAATACCTACCGATGCCAATGTTCCAAGAAATATGAATAGCTAGTCTGTAATAGGTACCTATCTATTTTCGTTCTTGATTGCATTCACATTCAAAATACAATGCAATGCAAACAAAATAGGGAAGATGCAATATTTTTATTTTTGTTTTCATTTTAAAGAATTCCATGTAGAATAAACCACAGATATATTAAAAAATTAAAACATTGTGATTTTCCGGAAAAAATGCGGTTTTAAATTGACAATTTAAATTTTCGCGCGAAAACGAACCTATGGTTGCGATGACGTCACTCCTGTCTGTCACTGGTCGTACTTGTTCGTTGCTGGCTTTAAATTTTCATACTTTTGCTTATTTTTTCGACTTTCGAAATATTTTTTTCGAAAAGTTTAAAATGGACTATCCATCAACATCATGTGATCATAACAATACCACTAATATTCCGAAAAAAAGCCGTGTTGACTCATGTTTTATGCCAATCTACTTCAACAAAGTTCCTAAATAAATTGTTTTTGACTGGAACTTCTGACCCAAAACTGAAAAAAAGTGGTTTCAAGCTGCGAAGAGAAATGACTAAACGCTGATTGGTGTTTTAAAATACGTTCCGTTTCAAGTATTTTTAATTCGTAATAATTGTTAAAAAACAACATTATGTAAAATAAAAACATTGCAGTGGCATTTCTTTTATATTTTTTTAACATTTTAATCACATAATTTTCATAAATATTATATATGCATCTTCCCTATTATTCTCCAAAGACCATTATTCGATGCTGAGAAGATCACTTTGACGTAAGTCGGCGAATATACTTGTTATATGCTTAATTAATCTGCTTGTACGTAAAAACGCATTAGTAACCTACCTAATATTTACAAAACCTGTCTATAACATATTTTTAATTTTACAGTTGGAGAATGACGACGAAAATTAGATAAAGTTTAAAATGTGTGGCACAATCTTCACATTGGCAGGACTGAACCAAGCTTTGCGTTTCATTTAAAATAACTGTAACACGATAACCTTCTTTACGTACTTTATGCTCCGGAGAACTCGACCTTCTACTGTACATAATTCTCCATCTCTTTTAATTTGGACATAGCCGATTGCATTATCGCCGTAAGATTTGTAGAAGCCGCTGAATAAAATATGAAGTTTAACAACTACGATTTTTACATACCGTAGTAATTTAGTCCCTTTCATTTCTACACTTAAAAACTCTGCACTTTGGACAAAAAAAGTTATAACCATGTCAACGCTAACTCTTGGTAAATTCCTGGAGTCTGCTTTGATAAACGCAACTTCCATTTTTATTAAATGTAAAAAAACGCAATAAATATTCCCCTAAAATAATATTTACTATAACAACCATAACCTCACAGGAGTGACGTCACTAAACGCTGATTGGTGATTTAAAATACGTTCTGTTTCAAGTATTGTTAAATCGTAATAATTGTTAAAAAACAACATTATGTAAAATAAAAACGTTGCAGTGGCATTTCTTTTATATTTTTTTAACATTTTAATCATAAAATTTTCATAAATATTATATATGCATCTTCCCTATTATTGCCGAGAAACTTTTTGTCTTTGATACCGAGTCCGTCCTCTGTTATGGCAACAGTACTTCAGTTGTCAGAATTGGAATTTCTTATCATGATTTATCCTGATTACTTCTATTTCTTTACTTTTAGGATATTAGTTTTCACCGGTAGTATCATAGATAAATAATCCTACGTAAAAAATGTTACATGTTACGATAATATTTAAATAAGCTTCGAAAAGACTCAAAGACATTTCAGTACACAACAAAGACACATAAAAACTTACTGATGAAACGTTAATCCTGGTGATCTATTGTAGGTAGCACTTTCACATCGATACGCACTGTACTTGACCATAGTAATTGAATAATCTCGTTTTGTAATATAGTTTCATCAAAGCAATATTCTTAATAAGCACCGAAAAGTCGCATGTCCGATAAGTCATAAATAAAATGGCGGCGAGGAATAAAAATGACACGCGTTGACATTTGTTGATGTGTGAGTCATTGTTGCAATAGATGGAAGAATGAGATGCCACTATCGAGTTGTAGCTGAGTGTAAAAAGGATAAAAGATCATGTTTTGATTCATAAATATAACTAGGTTTTATGTTCCGTCTGCTATAGTATTATATGTCTGTGCTTAAATTTGACAACAGTGGTGTCGATTCTGGCATGATTCTAAACATAAAATTAAGTTTAACATCAGTCTCACCTTTTCATTCTGTATAGAGAATGACAAGGATACACTGTTGGCAAATTCAAGTTTAGATTTAGAGAATCATGAAAGAAACGACATCAGTGTAGAGTCTGTGCGGAAAGAGAATGGGATTTAGATTGGAGAGCGCTGTAGAGCTTTTCTACCGTATTTATAAGGTTTTACACCTATTAGACATGATTAAATACAAAAAACCGCAAGAAATCACAACAACAAACAAATCCGTATCAATACAAAACTTTGACGTTTTACAGATTGCTGGGTTTGATTGCCAAATAAAAATTTTTGTGTTAGTGCCGTATTTCGCCACGCCCATTCTCTTTCCGCACAGACTCTATCCTTGTCATTCTCTATACTGAATGAAATGGAGAGACTGATATCAAATTTAGTTTTAAGTTTAGAGAATCATGCCAGAATTGACACCAATGAGGGATTTTTGGTGGGATTTCGTTTTCATCGAGTGCGGTTGGTGTCTTTTTTTAATTATTCTTAAATTAGTTCATAGTGGATAGTTATGAAATATAATTAGTGTGATTTTGTATTACAACCGTCTGCGTAACTGAATAATTAGTGGAATCTTAAAATATACGCTTCCGGTCAAGTGGACGTGAGAACTTTATTGTAGTGTTGACTACCTCACAGAAGCTTATCAAAAAGCCAACTAGATGGATTTCGTGCCAAACACTCCAAAGAACATTAGGATGCGTCGCACTGAGATTAAATAATGTAAAAAAAAGAAGATTAATAAAACTTAAGACTAGGTTGTATGGACATTGTTCCCTTTGCCTTCGCTAAAAAGGATGAATCTTAAAAAGTACATGACAATGACTTTCTTAAATTTATACATTTGGATAGGCAACGGCCAAGCTATACTGACTTGTCATAAAAATAGAAATGGTTGTAACGTCACAATCATAGAGAAAAGTAATACACTGGAAATAGAGGGCCTTCTGGCAAGTTTTATGTGTCACCCAAAATACTAACGCGAACCTAGCGCCATCTGTTAAGAGTTCACCCGAACTTCTGCGCTATAACCCTACCTATATATAGCTGTATAGCTACAATCCTAGATAGGTAAACGAATCATATGGAAATTAGATTATTCAACATTTCATGTAGTCTCAAAATATTTTTATAACGGCTTTGAGACTAAATAAAACATTGAATAATCTAATTTCCATATGATTCGTTTACCTATCCAACGACTTTATAAATGTATTTCCGTAATCGGGAAGGATAAATAAAACAATAAAAATGAGGAATTCACTTTTTCTTTTTATTATGTTTATTTTTGTTATAATACTGTTGTGCGCCAATCTTAGTTTCATCATCCCCATCATAAGATATTTTGCCGCATAAAATTCGATTAATTGAGCGGCACCAACTATACAACGTAACATTGATGATAAGATCTTCGAACATATTTCGTAGGTCTTTTTTGTGGTCATTACAGTCAAATGTGTTATTTACAAAGATGTCGATTAATACTTTAACATTTTGTTTAACGTTTTTTGTATTTAAATTTTTCTTTAAAACATTTACTGTTATGTTTGATATTTCTTCAAAACATTTAATACAATCCATAGAGGGATAGCATAGCCATTTTTTATTACAATATTCTTTTTCTTGTATGAATCTGTGAGCTGGTATATGTTCCGTCGCAAATAATCTATTTCTACAAGCTTTACATTGCTTTATGATTTTTGAACATTTTCTAAGGACCCAACCGCAAACATAGCTTTTTTGGCCAATGCCTTCTATTATTTCATTGGGACTATTTAATAAGTCCTCGTTGATTACAATTTCGTTAGATTCATTCAAAATAATAGTGTCATTATCCTTGCATTCTTTTATCAAAAAATCTACAGATTGTAAGAATGTAGAGACATCTTCTTCACAATTTGATTTTAAAGAATGAGAAGAACTAAAGTTATTTAATAATAATGATTTAAAAGCTCCTTCAAAACCAATTGTGTTAGGAGAGATGTTTCGTACACCTAAACTTTTGATACTGCCAAAAAAGTTTTCGATTGGATCCTGGTTGAGGTTTCTACATAACAATGTGTCAAAATTATATTTTTCATGTAAAAGCTTCCAAATGGCCTGCATTCCTTCGATGGTTTTAATAAAGTTTTTAATAGAGGGTACAACCTTCTCAACTAATCTAATTTTAGATCCTTCCTTTTTTCTTTCAAGATATTTCATACTTTTCAAAAATTTCAGGCTATCTTGCCAGAGCTTATGATGGGGCGAATTTCTTTTGACGCCAGACCTAAATGTTTTGCCATTAACTATGTTGAATGTATTACAATTTAAACTATCAAACAGATTGTCAAATAATTTTACAAATGGTGTTATTTGGCGACACGCTGGGTTTAGTTCTCCTACAGCAGTTAAATGATGTGCTGTCACTGCAACAGAGTGGCTGAACAATTGAGTTGCGGTTTTCACCTTCATTTTATTGATCTTTTCCGGGTTCACATGTTCTTCCGTTAATTTTAGAAGATATTTCAGCTCCCCTTGAGACTTATCAGCTTCATATAACTCTTGAAAATACTCCCATTTTAAGATTTTCTCCTTATTTTCATCTTCAAAATCCATGTATTTTAAATCTTTAGTAATTAAGTTATTGCGTATGCCTTTTATAAGATGAGGTACATCATAAATAGGTATAATTTTTGATTTATCAATTGTAAAAACATCATGGCGCCACTCTTGTCCTGTTTTCAAATATAATTCTTTGGTATCTTTTACGAGACTTTCTATGGCGCCTACATTCACCGAACTTTGGTCGCAGACAGTGGCGACTACCTTTAAGCCAGTACTTTTGACGTGTCTTATCACTTCTATGATACATTTTTTCAGCTCAATTTTATTAAGATTTTGAGTGAAGTAATATGCAACAGGCTGCTTTTACTGTTTTTTTATTCCTCTTACCATAAAGCTGAGGGCATGATCGGCTATCTTATTTTTATTACCAACTGTGGCAAAACCTTTCAATTGGTCAATGTTGGCGTCATAATGTACCTGGGGATTAATTGACATTTCGTCGAACATTATTATGCAGAGTCGATCGCTATTACTCAATTCAGCAACAGTGTCTCTAATTTTTTTAAATATTGGTTTGTTGATCCCTAGTAATATTTTTACTTTTCCCAGAAGATTCCTCAACGATTTACCTGATGGTAACGTAAAGCTTTTATGTAAAAGCGTATAGGCCTTCGGACTTCGTTTGTAAAACGATAATGATAAAATTTTTTCTTCAAGTGTGAAGCGACGTCCCTTTGGCTTCTTTTTCGTTTCGCGGAACTGCATATTTGTAAAAATTTTTGCAGACAAAGTCATATTGGCCGTGACTCTTTGAAAGGCCGCACTATCGGACAATTTTGATGCAGATTCCAGTCTGGATTTAAAAGATGTGCACTTTTTTCGTAATCTGTAGATTTCTCGACGCAAATTTTTAGTTTTCCTTTCAGTCTCCTTATAATATGGCATATTCAATCCTTTCAATCTCGCACCTGAAAATAATAATGTGTTAACTCGAAATGAGTCTGAAGTTAAAGAGAACTAGAAATCATTAATTTCGACTTCCGTTTCATATTTATTAACATAATCAGATAACATGAAATAATTACACAGAAAATTAAAAAAATATGTGGTAATTTAAACAATGAAGATATTTACAAGAATATTATATTTTTGTTTTAAGCATTAACTTTTAGATATTTAAATCTACTGAAAATTTTTAATAGAAATTTTTTCCACACGGTGCAAGCTGCTGACGGGACTGGAAGCCCTTCCTTATCCGGGCGGATGCACTTTACAAGTAAATACATAAATATAAAATGATAGATTTAGAAGCTGAAAATTTAAATAAACATACCTTGAATTTTCGTTGTAGACAGTTTTTTACAAACTTGTTTAGTTGAAGCTACATCTCCAATGTTACGAGTGCAATAATCATGATCGTTCTGGATGCACAATGGACTAGCAGTGTCTGAAATAATAAATAGGTAATAATTACTGCAACTCCCCATATTCTCAATTGGAAATAAAAATGGAGTGTGAACATTTCTTTCAATAAATCATGTACTTCAAAATTAAAAAAATAAAAGCGAGTGTGGTTATGACCACGCGACTGAAGTGAAACTTCTTTAGCTTCAATGATCTGAAAATCACAAACTTTGTTGATTTGTCACCCACCAATCCGCGCTGGGTCCGTTATCACCCCCCAATCCACACAGTGTCCATTATCACCCACCAAGCACTAGATTCATGTATGTTGTGACGAGTATTGTTCATTGTTTACCGATGAATCACTAGTTACGCGTTATGCGCTTAACGCAAAAATCGTCACCCATTCGCCAGTTTACCCCCCAAGTCAAGCGTGCCGAAAGAAGTTTCACTTCAATAAGTATATTTTTATTGCAACAATCGCATCGCATTGCGTAAATTATTCATACACTAGCGGCCGCCCGCGACTTCGTGCGCGTGAAGTTAGTTATTTAGAACAGTCAATGAAGGCAAAAATCAGCTAGAACCTCCATCGATTTTCATGAAAATTGGTGACTAGATGGGGAGACCTTAAGAAACAAAAGTGACATAGTGCCAACTTGCGCTTTTGCTCTAGGGTAGATGCCACCCTTTCTCGGGGGTGAAAATTATTTTAATAAAAGTAACTCCAGGAATCGATACAGAGACAAATTATAAGCAAAATTTGTTATATAAAGTTTTTGTAATAAATCAATACTTTCTGAGTTATTGAAGATCAAAGATTGTGATTTTTCGTGATAAAAATACATGTTTTAAACATTAAAAAGTATCACGAAAAATCACAATCTTTGATCTTTAATAACTCAGAAAGTATTGATTTATTCCTAAAACTTTTTATAACAAATTTTGCTTAGAATTTGTCTCTCTATCGATTCGTGGAGTTAATGTTATTAAAATAATTTATATCCCCCGAGATGGGGTGGCATGTACCCCCCTTTTATTATATGTATAGATATATTTGCCAATCACGCAAAAACAGCAGAATGGAATTGGGTGAAATTCGGCATACATACATATACCTTGATTTTGACTGGACTTTTCTTATCCCAGAAAAGTCTTAGCTTTCTGTGGGATTTTCAAAAAACTAACTATAACGCGGCCGATGTCGCGGGCCGAAGCTAGTTATAATATAAATGCGAAAGTATGTGTTTGTCTGTTACCTCTTCGCGCTTAAACAGCTGAAGCGATTTAGATCAAAATTTGGATTTGGTTAGTTTTTATTTCAGAAGTGATTTTACCCCTTTAAGTGGGTGAAAAGTGTGGAAGTTTATATGGGAAACTAATTTTTCCGCGCAGCAAAGGCAGGCACCTCATTAAAAAGGTATATGAATAGCACACAATACCTGACTGTTGTGAAGTAGCGGGGAAATTAACTTGGTTCATCATAACATGTTTTTCGGATTCCTCTCCAAATTCTAGACCAACATTCTGTGTTGCATGTGGCCCTGAAATATCAAATAATGGAATTTATTTTAGTCACATTGTTGTTTGCATATTTTCCCTATTTATTTATATTTACACCAGTACCACGTTCTGGCAACTATACAAATTATCCCTTCTAGGTTATTATATTTTTAAGCATTTGACTGCTAGATTTTTCTACTTTTATTTTCGCTACAAAAAGTTCACTTTTGCTTATCCTTCAGTTTAGAACATTTTAGTAGATTAAAGTTGATGCTATCACTTTCTATTTATGGTAACGATAATAAAAAACAACACGTGACCATTTGGTCACGTAATAATAATAATGATATTTATTTTCAGACAATATTATACAGTCCATAGAATTTTAGTAAATGAAGTGTTAAATTTAATTGACGTCTCTGAGTACTACCCCATCAGATAATATAATTATTCTGATCTTTAGTTGTTTTGGTAGAAGACCTACTAAAGTTTCTCTCATCGCAATCCAGTGCCTCTATTAAATACATAGTACAATAATGAGGAATCCTAAAAATATTTTTAAAGGAGCCGATGGAAAATCGTAGGTCTAAAAACTGAACCATCCCAAGTTGGTATTAAATCATTTAAATCTCCATTTTGGTTCCTGTAAGAGGTTGGGATTATCTCTCAACTGTTTCGGGACTATTTTGTTCTTATTATTTGAATATTTTTTCAAAAGTACATATACACTTAATTAGTATTTTTAGCTTAAATTATTTAGTATTTTATCCAAGATGTTATGCATAACGGGACTAATGATAGAAATTAAACAAATTTCGCAACGACTATTCTTAGGATGGATGGATGATGATGTTACTCAAAACAAATTTAAAAAAAAATTACTTACTAAAGAATGTTTAAATTTTCATTTCATACTGAGCAAAAATTACTTTACCTTGCACTTCCTCAGACAGATTTTTTGCAACTTGTTTAGTTATTTTCAGATTCTCAATGCTATGAGTGCAATAATCATGGTCTTTCTGAAAGCTGGTAACAGTATCTGAAATTATATTAGAAAAATTTGTTAATACTATTAGGAGTACATTTAAGAGAAGTAATGAAAGTAAATAAGTACTTGAAGTATTATAAAAATAATTAATTCACAAATTAATGCTATATTTGAAAGAATTATATAATGACATTTAATTTAATAAATTTGACCTTTTTATTGTTTAAATATAATTATTTTTAGTCTTATGTTGGATATAAATAATTTACATTAAGTAATGAGGAGCTCGATGGCGCATGTGGTTAGCGCGTTCGGCTGCGATCGTCAAAGTTAAGCAACTTTCGCAGTGGTCGGTCATTGGATGGGTGACCAAAAATCTTCTATCTCGAATTCCTCCGTGCTTCGGAAGACACGTTGAGCCGGCTGCGTCTGCAGTCGTTAGCACCCGCCAATCCGCACTGGGCCCGCGTGGTGGGTCATGGCCCAATCTCCCTATTCCATCCATAGGGAAGGCCTGTGCCCCAGGAGAGGGGACATTAATAGGCTGATGATGATGATGACCTATATTTTGTTAATTTGGAGATTATTTAAATAATATACTGTTAGTGATAAGCCCTCTGTAGTTTGGCTTTGTCGGACTGTGCTGTGAATGGTGCTGCACAGGCTTGATAATGCTAATGATTACTTAACATCGTTGTGAATGTACTATCCCAAATATATTGTAATGAGACATGCAATAAATAAAATATACCTATTTATAATAATATAAACAATACCTGGCTGGTGCGGTGCAGCAGATAACATAATTTGGTCAGTGATATCATTTTTCACAGATGGTTCAACTGGGATAATATTCTCTTTTGCAGATGACCCTAAAAATTAATGAAATTTTGATCAAACCTTACAAAAAAGCAGTTGGCTGCCTTGCCTAGCCTAAAAATAGCAGCAGGTGCAAGTTCAAATCTTGTCTGGTGAATTTTTCTAGAAAAAAAAACTTTGAAAAGCTGTTAAGCTTTTTTAACTCCAAGAATCGAAAAACCAGCAAGTGCACTGAAGCTAGAAAAGATCCTTTTAAACTATTAAAAACTATACATAATAAATGTTTAAAAAAAACTAGGTCGGTAGCTGTCCTGTGCAATATGTGTGTACATAATGTTCTTAAAAATTACATACCTTGACCTGATGGTGGAATAGGCATTACAATTGGAAAGTTTGTAATATTTGTCAATATTCTCTCCCTTTCTACAGGAACAGTTGTTTCCAGATCCAGTTCTGAAATTTTTATAATACTTTAATGAATATAAAACAAGTACTAGCAAACAATACTATTTTTGATTTTTGTTATCCTATAAGAATTAATCTCTTAATGATCTACTCTGAAAAAGACAAAAAATATTGCTATTATAAAGTATTTTGTGTGTTGATGACACAAAACATTTGAATTTGAATTTAAGCCATCATCACATCTTTCCAGATTTAATTTTGTTAACAATTTCTGAAGAGGTGCTAGTATTTTATTATTATAATTTTTAAGTGTATATATGAAAATAAGATACTTTTTTACATATTCAAAGTACCTACTATACTCACTGGGAAGGTACAAAGTTGGTACAGCCAAAGCACTCAAACGATTGTTACGATTTCGATGGCCTTCAATGAAGTGTTTATCACATACTTTCATTCTTGGGTATATCTGTTCAGTTGACAGGTTTCTCAGCCTCTCACCACCTATCTCAACCCAAGATCTAAACTGCTCTGGAAACTTAGCTGGGTTTGGAAAACTGTGAACAGTGAGACCTAAAAGAGAAAAATAAAAATTTTCAGTTAAAGTGAGCAATATCAGCAAGAATATATATATTTCATGTAGGTACAATCACAAGAGATTCTTTCAGAATGTGAAGGCAAAATACATTGTTTATTATTTATTCTTTATTGCATGCCACAGATAGTACAAAAACAATAATATCATAGGTTGCACAAATATGTGACACCCTGCCAGGGTGTTGCAATTTTACTTAAATTATTATTTAAATAAACTATCAAATATATTATAAAAAAAACTATGTATTAAATAGTTCTTACATTATATACATATATAATTTAAAAACTACAGATATTAATAAACAATTTTCACACTCAGAATTTTTCATATAATATACGAGGTATATAAGTTATGAAATTTAATAAATTTTATTATTACTTCATAAAAATTATATCAGATATGTTTATCTTGAAAAACCTCTAATATAGTATAATAGGATTTATTAATGAGATATTATTCCTTTAGATGTTTCCTTTATGTGGAAAATTTGATACTAATTTCAAGTTTGAAAACAGGAGATTCAGTGTATTCTGGTAGCGATCATTACGTCTTGCTAATATAACAGGGGTGTATAATTCAATATGTTTTTCACAAACACGCAGGCTTCAACGACGTATAGGCATGTTATGGTAAGTATTTAAAATTTTTTGAAATATGATTTGCAGGAGTCTGCTTGTTTTATGTTTGCAAGTATTCTTATAAACTTTTTCTGGAGGACTAAAACATCGTGAATTTAAGTGCAGTTGCCCAACAATATAATACCATAGGTCAGCCTGGAATGGACAAATGCATGATATGCAGAAAGGTATTTTATTAATATTGCGTTTCAACTGTCTCAGTGCATATACAAGAGAGGGCAATCGAGTCAAATCGAGAGAAATGCGTCTAGCTCTATTCCTAGCATGGTTGCAGAGTTTAAAGCTTCTAATTTTTTGGATTTGTATTGGTAGTTGATGTTTAATGGGGTCTTTTGATTGAGGTCTATATTCTATTAATTTTAATTTTGTCAAGATTAAACTGTAGATTGTTACACTCTAGCCATTTTGTAAGTGAATCTAATGTCGCGTCAAATTTTAGTTTAAGTGAATCAGTGCTTGCGCAGGATGAGCTAAACTCGAACAACGTTTGCCGGTGAAACAAAACTTAAAAATTACTCACCTTTGGTAACACATCCGAATACACAACGCCTGGAGGATGGCATGATGATGAGAATACACTAAACTAATGGAGTCACTTGCAAATAAACTACACTAAACATAAATAGCGTCCGTTTCGCGAAATCACAAAAGACCGGCGCCTGCGACGATCCTTAAGCGAGGAACCAAGTTCAAACTCAACTCAACGAAAGTGAAGACCAGGTAATTGTGAACACAACGAGAAGAAGACGGAGGAGAAAGATACTCGACTCAACGTACTTGCATCTGATGAGGATTTGTAAATCGCGTTAGGCAAATCTACAACAAAACATCAAATGGCAGCCATTTGAATTTTGCAATCAACCAACTGACACAATGGTGCGTTCCATACCGTATTACTTATTTTTATATGAAAATTTAAACGTTATAGTGAAAAGTTGCACTCAGGGCGTCGGCTTGGAACGCAGCCCAACACTGACAGTTATTTGACATTGAGGAACGGCATTTGGCATGAAACTTCAGGTGAAGACTTAATAGATGTCGCTAGCAAAAACCTCCTAAGTAAGTTCTTTGCGACTTTCCGACCCCTGGTCACAATCTCAGAATAATCTATTCTACTCTGAGGTGACTAAAATATCGGTTATGATCATGGGCCAAGAATTTTATAGAGGAAGTAAAACATGATTATGAACAGGAATGAGTGCTGTTAGAATTAAATGGGACGAGAGAGACACGTAGCTCAGCGGCCTTTTTTCTAATATATTTTAAAACCATTACCAGTACCTTAATCAAAAAATATTAATATTTTAGTATGTCATTTATTTCTGTTTTTATACAAAATATTAGCAGAAATATATTATCCTCCTTAAAGAAACTTACATAAAAATAATCGATATATAAGATCTCAATAATTACTATTCAATTAATGTCATATAGACAAGTATGTATATTGATTTACATATTGTAGTACAATCGCTAAATTAAGATGATCATCAGACGCTACATCCAGATGCGCCGATGACAAACGAACAACCATCACTGTTTGGGCGTGTCAAAACTTAAAAGATTCAACTCACAGTGGCGCAATCGAAGTAACACGACGCGTTTCGGCTGTAGCAAATTCACCTCTATTTAACCACTATTTAGGTATCCCTACTTATACTCGCGACTTCTTAATACCAAGTTTCATGTTTTTCGTCTGTAGCAAATTCGCCTCTTATTTTGTCACTGTTAAGGTAATCCCAAGGCGATAAACATGAAGCAACGCGACTCTTCGACTCTGCGCCAGTGTGAGTTGAATCGTAGGAATAATGATAATTTGTGAATTATCGCCACTTGCTAGACGGCAGACAGACAGCACCAAGTAATGTTTTATATAAATGCCAAGATTGAAAGTCAAAGAATGTTTATTTAAATTTTTTAGGTCCAAATATGAGATCGGCGTCGGGCGCCCCCTTCGGATGCTGGTACTTCTGCCGGACGTGCTGACCGCGATTAGGGTTTCCGATGCCACCCGACCCTCCCCCGCTTTCCGCACTGTACTCCTCTTCTTCTTGTCTCTCCGATATGTTAAGGGTTAGTCTAAAAATTCAAAATTGATATATGAGCTAGTGTTTACAGAGTTACAGAGACATTCAGTACCTAACTCTTTCAATCTATAACTAACATAGAAATTCGAATGTAACTCCTCTCTTCTATCTCTCATTTAGTTGTGTGCCCGACAGGGTCCATAATGATCGCATTTTGTCATAACTTATATTTAACATCTTTTTGTACATCGTGGATATGCAATAAACGAATTGAAAAAGTGATTGGAATTTGGGTGCAAAACTTTAAGAGACATCGCAAATTAGGCGACTTGTCGCCGCGTCTTGTCGTCGCGCCTTGTCGTCGCGTCTTGTCGCGGCGTTGTCGTCTTGTCGCCGCGACTAGACGCGGAGCTGTCGCTAGCGCCGGAGACTAGTCGTAACGACAGACATCGTTCAGAAAGCGATCATTACTAGTGGAGTATTCGAGAGAGACGGCAGTGTTGTTAATCTTGTGAGTGAATATGGAGCCTCCTCTATATTCCTTCAAAGCCTGATTTTTCTTGCCTCGGTCACTATAGTCATCTGAACGTAAGTCCCAAATAGCAGGATGCAATTCGACGTCCGAAATGAATACATCGACATCGAATGTATCCATATTGAGATTCTCAATAAAATACTCACATGCACCTTCCTTAGCACTCACAGCGAGACTGACGCGCGACTGTCGTCGTGTGTGCGCGTGCACAGCGCGACTAGCGCGAGATCGCTCGACTCCCCTAGCTTGTCGTCGCGACTCCGCGACTCTGACGCCAAGTGTGCGAAGCTTTGAACAAATTATATGAAATTGTCGCCCGCAGCCTGTCGTCGCGTCTAGACACCGAGCTGTCGCTGTCGCGTGTCGCCTAGTGTGCGCCTACATTAAATGTACATGACGACAGTCGCGCGTCAGTCTCGCTGTGAGTGCTAAGGAAGGTGCATGTGTGTATTTTATTGAGAATCTCAATATGGATACATTCGATGTCGATGTATTCATTTCGGACGTCGAATTGCGTCCTGCTATTTGGTACTTACGTTCAGATGACTATAGTGACCGAGGCAAGAAAAATCAGGCTTTGGAGAAATATAGAGGAGGATCCATATTCACTCACAAGATTAACAACACTGCCGTCTCTCTCGAATACTCCACTAGTAATGATCGATTTCTGTATGATGTCTGTCTTTACGACTAGTCGCCGACGCTAGCGACAGCTCCGCGTCTAGTCGCGGCGACAAGACGCCAAATGCAAACGACAACGCCGCGACAAGTCGCCTAATTTGCGATGTCTCTAAGAGGAAGCTGGCATAGACCATTTAGAACCATTTTAGCCTTGTTGGTCTTCGACGAAGTATGTTTTTTTAAAGTAATAAAGTTAATGACTTTTGGTAAACTATTTAAAATAATGATAAAAAAGAACATAACTTAAGTTCTAAGTTTTCATAAACCATAATAATATCTACTACATTCGGAACGAACGAATTAAAGTACCATAATTCGATATATAGGCCCTAGCTTTGAATAATTGTTGAGCTGTTTGCATAAATGACACCTGAAAAGAAAGTAGATTAACGAAGCATGTTTTGAATATAAAACTAATTCCTTGTTTTTTTTTTATAGTCGTCAAAGCTACAATTTTATTTTAATTAACATTTACTTTAAGATGTTTCATTAAGAAAAAATCTGATGATTAAAGTGTTTTAAAGATATTTTCTTAGATTGTAAACACATTACTTAAAAATTAAAAGGATAAATATTAAGTTTTCAATGCATCTGAAACTATTTTTTGCTAAAAAAAACTCCATACTTTGTCTAAGACAAATATATGGCTGAAATGGTTCTAAAAATGATCTATGCAAGCTTCGCTTTTAAGCTTTGCACCCATCTTCCAATCCAACAGCTTATGACAGAAATGATCTTCAAGTTCATTCTAGAAACTAAATCTAACTACATGAAGCACTTAAATAAATTAATGTTGCTGTGAAGACTACCCTAAACGTTAAAGTGCGGCCAACAAAACGACTGCAATCATGACAGGTCATGTCAGTTCCTTAAGGTGACAGAATTAGAGTTTATTTTCGGCCTCTTTCTGTTACTAGATCAAAAGTAAATCTATTCTTCTAATATAAGGAACTGACCCGACTTATCAGGATCGCATTATTTCGTTGGCCGCACTTTAGAAACTGTGACGCCAAGTACGGTATCTTCATCAACCAACTAACCTTAGAGGTGGTTAGACTCTATAGAGTCATAATACATTATAATGTAACAACTTACATTGATTGTAATTAGCTATAAGGTTGAAATTAAATTTCACAAGTGCAGATTGAAAAAGTTACAAAATATCTTCATAAATACATTTTATACATTATTTACAATGCATTTTTTGACGAATAGGCAATTGTACAATGTTCTTTTTTGTAATTATTTTGTAAAAAGTGTGCTTTATGTTGTTCTAATGTGTTTTTATTGGTAATTGGAGTTTTTCTTATTATTTAAGTTTTTATTTTATTTTTTTATAGCTGTTGGTCATCCAAAAAAATAAATAAGTAAATACCGTTTAACTCTCTCCATCTCCTGCTTGTCGGCTAAGGCCTGTTGTTGCAAATTGCTTGCGAGTTCCGGTGGAGCGTTAAAGGACTTGTACTGAGGCTTCGTGCCTTTTCTCACCATCAGCACGAACTCCACCCCTTCATTACCTTGCTGAGGGACATATAAGGAGAATACTTGTGAGGATACAATGATTTCAATATTGATTCCCCACAAAAAATATAGACCCAAGCCCAAAAATTTATTTTTTATTGATCCAGTTCTCAACCCTGTATGTACTCATCTCTCATTTAACAATTTAAAGTCTGCAAACAACTAAAAACTTTATGCACCAATTGGGGTCCCGGGTTCGACGAATCCCGGTGGGGGCAGATGTTTGTGTGATGAATACGAGCATTTGTGCTCCCGTCATAGATGTTTATTATGTATTTCTATAAAAATATAGTTATATATGTCTGTATCAGTATATGTATTCTATCCGTTACCCTAGTATCCCATAACACAAGCCTACTGACCAATTTGGGGCTAGGTGTGAGAGTGTTGGGGTATGAGTTTTGGCAATATTTATTATTTAATATTATTTTATTTTATTATGGCTGTACTAATGGACTTGGGAAAAAATAATAATTGTATTTTTATATTATCTATCATATTAAACAAACGTTACAAAGCAAAAATACATAAGGCACTAGAACCCGTTTGTTTTGCGTGGAGCACATGCAAGTCAAGGACCGCGTGACGTCATCATTTCACTTCACCTCATCGTGCCTTTCACGAAAGCAAAAGCGCGTTGGCATTTTTTCGACTCCTCAATAATTTATTACGCAGTAATTTGAAGTGCTTGATTAGTTATTTAAATGATTAGATTTACACGCAGTGAAGACATCAATTTACCGTCATTATCATCATCAGCCTATTAATGTCCCCACTGCTGGGGCACAAGCCTTCCCTATGAATAGAATATGAAGATAGGACCATGACCCACCACGCGGGTACAGTGCGGATTGGTGGGTACCAGCGACTGCAGATGCAGCCGGGACCAACGGTTCCGTAGCACGAAACTGCTCGAGGTAGTAAGTTTTTGGTCCCCCAACTAATTGCGAAAGTTGCCTAAAAAGATCCACATTATATTTTAGACTCCCCGGCAAATTTCTGGAGCAACGACCATTGACAAGGAAGCCTGTGCAGTGGCAAATTAAAGCGAGCTACTAACATCCCTGCCGCAGGGCCAATCTAAGGCGTATGGCGATCGGGGCAATATCGGCTTGTCTCTACACACATGCCTACTATTCAGTGTTCGGGTATAAGTTGAGCTTAACACATGTTGATAATGGCCCCAGAATTATCAAAATGCAACAAAAGGTAGGTAGGGCCTTGGCTCTTTCTATTGTGTTAGCGCAAAAAAGGGAAAAACTGGGTGAAGTATTGGCAATAGAAAAAAAAAATTGTCAATAAATAATGTTTGTGTGTTTTATCCCACATGTGGGGCCAGCCTTTATATACTTCTATCACTCGAGACCAAACATCATGCTCATTAATATCATCATGAAATACGTGCGCTCCGTATGACAGTTACCAACCAACTGATTGAGAAATTGCCCCGATCGTGTTACACACGCGGCAACTTGCAGGGCGGCAAGGACAATCTAGGAACCAAGGGTGGTCTCGCGCCCTGCCGCCTTGCCGCAGGGCCAATTTAGTAAATTGCCACAAACAAACACACATCACACTTAAGGAGGCAATAAACCCCTCGGCTGTGTAGCCATCTACTTTGTTTTTCACCGATTTTCCTCTTATTTTTCAAGTTCTACTGTACATCATTTATTCATTTATTTCTTAATTCAATCCTAAATAGTTTCTGTACAAACTTATCAGTAGATGTATAAATTAAAAACCATTACTAAATATGATAAAATGAGAAAAATAAAAATGGTTTTCTGAACTATTGGCAGAAATCATTCACTTACACACACGAGGGTTAAAGGGTCATCCCCACTCTTACACCCTAGATTGCCCCTGCGGCAGGGACTTCAGTAGTCCGCTTAAGTTCCACGATGGCAGGCCAAATGCGCAAACCACATACGCCATCGAGCTTCTCCAATTTATTGTGTATTAATATCCTACTCTCAGCTCACTTACCAACAGTTGTTCGTAGGTCTTCTTGGTGGTCTGCCGGCAGGTCATGGGGACGGCGATATCACGTTGCTGCGGCCTATTCTCGCGCTGTCGTTCAGCAATGTTCTCCATCACCATTTTCTCGAAGGCCGATTCGAATTCCACATCTTCAACCTTGTGAAGTGAAGCGAAAATTTAATGAATTCCAAAAATTCCTTTTTTGGAATTCATTATTTTACTTACGTCGATTTTAGCAAAATCAACGTAAGTAAGTTGATTTTGATGCCGCTACTTCACTTGGCTAATCTTATTTGCTATTTGTAAACATGACAACAGTCTGCCTTTATCATGCTTCATATGGAATGAAAATGACAGATTGATGTCAAGTTTATAAATACCAAAAACGAACAGCTAGGTGAAGTGCCGGCATAAGGTGCAATAAATAAATATTGATGTAGACCACAGTAAAATAACATTACCTTTTGGTGGTGTGGTGTTTCTGTCAGTGAGTAAGGTTCCAGGGCTCTATGGGGTAAAGTATTGATTAAGGATAGGCAAAAGCGCGAGTAATAGCTTTAGTATCTCAAGCGTCTATAAGCTATCATGGCCGCTTACCATCAGCCGAGCCATATGCTTGATTGCTACACTATTAACGTTATAAAAAATCTATAACATTTAAATATACTCACAGGCTTCGAAGCTGGCCGTCTGTCTTGAAGAGTCATATCGTCATTATCAGCCGGTATTTCGTTATCATCGTTGCCAGTGTTCTCTGTGTTGGGTTCCTCATCTGAACTCTCATCAGGGAGTTGCGGATTATCAGTTTCGTCGTCTGTTTCTATAATGGTGTCCAATCCATCGTTGACGCTGTCGTCACCTTGATCTTCATTATCATATTGCTCTTCCTCACCTAACTCAGGGTATAAACTCTGTCTTAATTCTTCTATAGCATCTTTACATTGCTGCCAATTTGTAAACAAAGTTATCTTCGGCCTCAGACTAGTCAAACACTCCTGATAGATATATTTAACATATATAGGAAACTTATTGTCATCTGTCCAATAAGGATCCGAATGTTTAAACCAGAAATAATTTTGGAAAAATATAAGGAAGTAATCTAAACGCTTTTTGCTAGAACCACTGTTGAAATACGCTCCACAAGTTTCGAGCAACGCGCAGACTAGTCGTATTCTAAACACATTATCTGGCGGGTCAAGTGGAGATGCATTACTTTGATCATTCGTTACACCGAAAGTAATGAAGGAGTACAGAACAGTAAATACGTCGCGAGAGTCCAACAGCTTATAGTTGTACAACTCTCCGAGATATCTCACAGTGGCTATTCTCCTTTGATTATATTTTGGATGTGGATCTTCCATAGTGACTCTTATCTCTTCGAGTATAGTGTCGACAACAGCAGGCGCGACGTTTTCTTGCCAAGCGGCTAGCTCTGCAGTGAGTCTCGCCAACACTCGCCGGGCGCTAGCCCTAACTCGCCAGCCGCCTGCTAAGTGTTGTATAGCAACTGCTGCTAATTCAAGATCTTCCCAATTCAATTTTCTCATCAATCTGAGAATCTTCTCTTCGTTGCTCTTCTGAAGATCTTCGTGGAGAATTTTCCTTATAAATTGATGCATCGGCGCTTCTTCTTCCTTAGGCTGAGCGGGGGCCTCGGGAGGGCAAACGTAATAAAATGCATTTTCAATTTGCGTTACGTAACGAGAATCGAGTGCAGAAACTGTCTGAAAATCATATTTATTTTTATTACAAAATTATTGTATAATTGGATTGGATGCATATAACAAAAATACATCTGATATGCAATATTCTTCCTCATCACTTTGTTCTACCTACCTTTTTCCTCATCATTTGCTGCAAATATATCATAGTCCTTTGATGTGTATCTGGGTTACAATAAAGATATCTTCCACATGTCTCCAATAAATTACAAGCCATTTCAATATGATGGTGTTTAAAGTCATGTAACAATACTTTCAAACAATATAATGCTTCCATTTTTGAATATAGACCAAATTTTACTAGTTCCCCAATGAATCTTACCACTTTAATCTGTGAAGAAATAATAACATCATAACAAAAAGGTTAGTAAATTAAAAATCAACAACTCAAAACACACAGTTCACACCTTTGATTCAATGTTTATTTGATCCTTTTTTCTAACATGATACTTGAAGTCTTGCTTTAACATCTGACATAAATCCATACAAACATCAGGTAGAACTGGGTACAGTATTGCTGCAAATCTTGAGTAGAATGGTAGTAGATCTAATCTGGTTCTGGCAACACTAAAAAGAACCCTCGTAAGTTTTTTACGATTGTTCTTAGTGTTGAGATTTAATACAAAATCCACAGCAGCATTGTCAATCAGTTCTCTATTTATACAGTTTGGTAGTTCATTCATAAATGCATCAAGAGCATATCTGCAAATGGAAAGAAAAATAATATTAATGGTTAGGTAATAGCACTCAATTATTTTCTGAATTTTATTAAATATTTGGTAATAAATAGTAAAGAACAGACTTATTGGAGATATTGGATGGTTGTGTATCTTCTTGTTCTACATCAGGGACTGCAGGGGGCTCCTCACTGTCACTTAGCTCATCCTCTTTCAAGTCTTCATCTAACATTTCTTCTGTTACAGTTTCAGTCTTGCTTTTAACTGTCTGAAAGTCATGAATTTGTGACTGATATAAATATTTTTTATCACATCTGTACGAAAACACCTAGTTTGTTCTGTTTACAGGGACCAAAATTACGCTTTAATCCCTAGGGACTAAAAGTGATTTGAATTAGGAATGTGGATATTGTTAGTAAAAGTTCCAATCACCAATGTCATCAATCACAAACAACTTATGAACAAGTCACAGGCTGTTTAGAAACATACTGCTTGCTGCTGCTACATGCTTGTCAAATAAAAATAAAGTTTGTAAAAAATGACTATATTTCACCCTCATTCATAATCATAATAGTTTCCTCAAATTGTAATTTTATTTGATTTTAATAAAAAAATGTGTATCTTCATGTAGTAAGAATGAAAGTATTATATTAACTTCCAAAAACATTGTATCAGACACTAAAAATGTTAGTAGGATTTATTTTACCATAGAAAGTGATAAAAAGTAGAGTGTACATCTCAGAAGCAACACTATTTTAAAGCTCAAGCAAAGTACTAAAAATCCCTTTACTGTGCACCCAATTAAAAAACACTCTCTTTTAAAATAGTTCTTTGCAAAAAATCTAATATTTTATATCTTTAAACTTTTTAAACCACTAGAATCTTTAATGTAAAGAATTGTTTTTACTAGAAATAGTTCTATTGACCCTGGTTCTTACTAGGGATAGAAACAAACTAGTAAATATTTTTTTTAGTGTCCGACCGAAGGTTCGGTTTCGGTTTCGGCCGAGTTTCGGCCAAAAATCAAGTTTCGGCGGCAGTTTCGGTTTCGGCCAAAATTGGCCGAAACTTTTGCCGAAACCGAAACTGATTACGGAAGTTGTCGTGCAGGCTCGCCTAACTTCGTTTCTCGCGGCAACGCATTGGCGGACGCTGGCGGCCCTGATCGGGAATTCTCGTGCGCCGTTCGGATAGCTCCGTAGCACACACAACTTAGTGCGTTATCGCCCGATGCAAACATTCTTTAGAGGTTATGTTATGATGGAACTTCTAAGAGATTTATGATTCTTCTAAGTACAAATACAAACCAAAGTATTAATAAGATTTCAAAATACCAATACTTAGTATTTAATGAAACAGTAAAAATTAGTGATTTGATTATTGATAAAGCTGATAAAAAGGAGATTGCTCAAATTGGCCCAAATGCACAAAAAATATTGACATACACGGTAATTCTTGGCGTAATTTGTAATTTAATTTACAGTCATTAGATTTCAACGGACACCTTTGTATAATATATTCACTTTAAAAAGGACTTTTCATTTTACCGGTTTGGAAAACATATGAATCATTTTTAATGGCTATGGGTGTAGTAACATTCAGCCCAAAACTGATCGAAGTTGTTTATCTTTATATATATAATTCTTCTGTGAGTGTGTATGTCACTGAACTTCTCTTAAACGACTGGACCGATTTTGATAAAATTTTTTGTGTGTGTTCAAGGGGATCTGAGAATGGTTTAGATTCACAATTTTGTCCGCTGGACAACCCCTATTTTTTTAGGGCGGTACGAAGTTCGCTGGGTCAGCTAGTATAACATAAAAACAAATCTATTTTGTAAAGATCGATAAAATAAATATTTTTTGTATTACACTGTGGTATTAATATCCACATCTATCATTTTCACTACATGCAAATGTGCTCAGACAATTATTATAGATGGTAGGCGACATCATAAAGTCTATTGCCATACATTTTTCGCCAAACACCTCCATAAACACATTATAATCTGTTTAGACTTTAAGGTATCTATCTATGAGCCTACGTTGCTTGACTATAAATAAATAAAATTATAAGGTGTGATACACTAAAAATCACACACACAATCACAAAAAATGAAGCTACTGAATACATGGCTATATAACCTAAACCTCTTAGCTTTCTTTGGTTAACGAGAGTTTAAAAATTCTCTCTAATCTGTGGCTCATTTACAATCATCACACAGTTTCTGTCACAGAGTACCTTATTATAACCGGAAATGCATATATGACACCTGATTTTAAAAGTTACTCTTATGCATTAACTTTAAAAACAGGCAACTATCTGTTAATCTACATGCTCTATATACCTGAATCTAATCCATAATTTCGGTACTTGGCTTGATTTCCCTAGTTTTCTATATAACTTATTTGTTTTTTATTATTTTAATATGTTCAGTATATATGGTTTATAGAAGTTCTCAGGGGTGTCCGTCAATAATATTAGTTTTTACAGTAATTTATATATAATTTCGAATCTAGGAAACAATTTTTCATGATTATTGGTCTTTAGGCCAAACATGTATGGAAGCTGAGCAATCTCCTTTTGCTATGAGAACTTTATTTGTATTTTATTTTTAATTTTTTTTTATATTATATTAAATAACTGATAAGAACAAAATTAAAATACTGTGTTTCCATTTCATGCCCTAATTAATGCAGAATAATCGGTAAAATGGACCAAATTTCAGTATTTTAAGGAATTTTATACTTGACCACGTGAGTTTCGGTTTCGGTTTCGGCCGAAACTGAAGCCACGGCCGAATGTTCGGTTTCGGCCGGAAAACCAGTTTCGGTCGGACACTATTTTTTTTAATTGCATTGTTTTTATATTCCTATTGTAATATTTATATAATTTACATAAAGAAATTACCTCCTTAAGTTGATAATTTGGCATAAATACTTTTAAATCAGGTAAGCTGGTATAAAATGTGCGTGTGTCTTCATCCTGCCATGGGTCTGTACCAGCTTGCATGTTAAACTCTTCACTGCCACCAATTGTCACCGTTCCTTGTGTTTCAGTTACTGTTAAACTTAATGCTGGAGGTTCTCCAGCTTCACCAAGATCTTCTCCTAGTACTTCAGCAAAATTTTGTGCTCCTACTAACAGTTTGTCATAAGTGGCCTAAAAAAATATTGAGCATAATTATTTGTAATTAAAAAAACACTTTGTTTATTTATATATTAAAACATTCAATTTATAACACTGTTTACTTATTCCCTCTATAAATAATCTCTAATGCATTTAAAACAAAATAGATACAAATAAATCTCAAATAATTATTTCCTAACCCTTATTATTTCTATAACTAAATCCATAGAATAAAATCCAGCTACACATACATTAATTTACTTTAAAAAACTGTAAACATAAAAACAACAAATAAAATTAGCTTTCACTAATATTTTTATAGGCACATGTAGTAATAATGTATACATGTTTATTATATAATATGTATAATTGTTTGTGAAATAATATACCTGATGCTGTTCTAACTGATCCTTCCTTTCCTGTGACAGTTCACCACGTGTATGGAGGGTTCTTTGGTTTGCAGCATGCAATGTCTGCAACTGCGTCCTTTCAGCAAGTAAGTGTTTTGTTAAAGATAAGAAATAATCCTTCAATAAAGTTCTTACAGCAGATTGTTTTTCTGCAGGCAAGAATGTATTTCTTGGCACAGTTATACTGTATTTCTAAAAAAAGTAAATAAATTGTTTTAAACTTCCATGGTCACTAACATTATAGCTGTTAATGGGATTGTTACCATGTACTGTTGTAAGCGCCATGATCATTTGCAACAGTGCTGAAATATCTGACACATAAAAAACAAGGTACATGGTAACAATCCCGTTAATAGCTATAAAGTAAATAAATACGTTCTTAATAATCAAAGATTCTTTAAGAAATATCTTAATGAAATAAATCAGTGAGACTTACTTCTGCAGCATCTCTAACTTTTTTGGGCATTAACCCCGCATAATCTTCACCACAATGTTTGCAAAAAGAAAGCAATATTGGTATATTATTATGGTCTTCTTTATCCATATTTATAAGAACAGTGAGTACATTTCCTAGTAAGGGTAAACCCATTTTGTTAGGAAATATGCCGACTGCAACTAACTCTGCATAAAATCTTATGTCAACTCGCAACTTTGATGAATTAGCAATTTTGTCTGTTGGCTTAAACGTCAATATTTTTTGCCAGTTTTCGAAAAAGTTTGAAGCAAATTCAGCATATGTGCGGTGAAGGGATGAACATAAATTTATTGCAGCTGGAATATCAGACATTTTCAACTTTGCCTCTGCTATAGCTGCTGCAACCTCCGATATATATTTAGTCAAATTTAATGAGCTGAAATCTTTGATGAGTGCATCCATTTGTGTAGCACTAAAAGACTTTAATTTCTTAACGAATGTGGTATTCTTCTTTAGACCAGAATCTAGTTTAGAGAAGTGATTATCTGGAGGTCGAACACAGTTCAAATTTTGATGCCTCACTTCTGATTTTTGCTTAATTCTGAACTCAAGATTACATATGTATTCATCTAATGCGGCCCTATCATTTTCTTCGGTATTTTCCGGTGGTTCTTCTGATAAATTTGCATTGTTTTCCGATTCCTTGTCCATTATTGTGAATTTTATGTTTGATTTATGAGGTTATTACACATATAAATAGAAATATAATCAAGGCAGTTTTTAATATTTTCAATAAAATATATTATCAAAGAGAAAGCAATACACAGCACCAAACTTAATCTGTTTTAATTTGCTTTTTCTTGACAAAAAAAGGAAATCGGTTTGCTTAGAGAAATGTCAAACTGACACTGACAATTGACACTAACCTTAGTCCACGGCATGGACCAAGGATTTCTTTAAGCTTGGCCCATGGTCCGTGCCTTACGGTGTGTTCAGACTAGACTAGCACACGTATAGCAAGCTACATTTTTGTACGTACCTAGCATAGTGTGGTGCGAATGTGAGCTATACACTATAGCGTAGTCTGATCTACACCCCAAGCACGAACAACTAGGAAGCAAGTATTTGTATCGTCATGTCTTTTCTATGGAAAAAGCTAGTTTGTGCTTACTTCCGGTAAGGGAGCTGCACAAATTCCACAGCAAATTTTGACCTTGGTGATACGAAAACGTATCTGTCAAAGTTCGTCAGATCAGCCTATTGGCCAACTTGTTTTTAATTTACAGTGGTGTCGATTCTGGCAGGATTCTCTAAACTTAAAACTAAATTTAACAATAGTCTGTCCTCTTCATTCTGTATAGAGAATGACAAGGATACACTGTTGTCAAATTTAAATTTAGCTTCAGAGAATCATGCCAAAATCCACAAAAGTGTGTAACTAAAGTGTAAATTGCATATCTATCGATGCTTTACAGAACAAGTATCTTAGTGGCGTTATAACAAAGTAGTAGTGGATCACCAAGTAGCTCGGTGATAGTGAGTTAGCGAAGAGGCCTACTGATCAATTATATATATATTTTTATTGATATTATTATTTAAAGATGCAGCTATAGATAAATATATATTTGCCTGACATATGGTGCGACAAGAGGACCTTGTTAGAAGAGGGCGCGTTTACAAAAACGGTGGGATAAGTTCAATTTTCGACAGTTAATAAGATCTTGGTCGCACTGTGGTCGCACCATTCACGGTCATTTACGTAGACAGTGGGGTTGATTCTAGCGTGATTCTCTAAACTTAAAACTAAATTTACAATCTCTCTCCTATTCATTCCGTATAGAGAATGACAAGGATACACTGTTGTCAAATTTAAGTTTAGATTTAGAGAATCGTGCCAGAATCGACACCATTGGCACCCTCACTGAACTGTCACTCTCACTCACAATCAATTTTCTATCAAAAATATTGACTTGCTGCTGACAACTCAAGCAAACTGAAATATTGACAGACACAACTGACAGATTTTGTGTTTCGGTCTCCACTCCAATTTGAGTATTTTTGATCAAATAATATTTTACAAAATGCAACCACTCACAATGAATAAAGGTGAAGTGCAAATAGATCTTAATCAAGTCAGAATAGATATTCGTTTGGGAATAAAAGAGTGCAACGATCGTGGTCTCATTCAGACTGCAAAGTGGCTGGCTGAGCTGAACTATGCACTCAGAGATCACAAAATCACAACACCAGAAGAACAACCTAAAATACTCGATGATGGTATTGCTATTGAAGATCGAGAATCATATACTTTAGCCAAGACATACTTTGACTGCCAGGAATACGATCGAGCCGCACATTTTTTAGAAAACTGCACGAGTCCCAAATGTATTTTTCTGCAAAGGTATTCGCAATACATGTCTAGTGAGAAAAAAAGATTAGACAATGCTACTGACGCTGGGAATGAAAACACAGAATCGACACAAGTTCTATTGGACTTACTGTCGTTTTTTAAGGTTTGTTTATTAATGTGCATTTAGGGATCATTTTAAGTAGTGAAATATAACAGTATGTCAAGTTTAAAAAATATATGTTTTTTATATATTATGACATTTATTTATATCAAACCAGGCAAACCGCAACAATTTGGATGGATATCTCCTGTATTTAGAAGGTGTGGTGCTGAAAAAATTAGATTTGCGAAGCCAAGCAGTGACAGTGCTTCAAGCTGCTATAGCTGCAGCTCCAACCCTTTGGGCAGCATGGGTGGAACTCGCAGGCCTTGCAAATGAATATGAAGCATTAGATTCTCTTCAGCTGCCAGAGCATTGGATGATGTACTTTTTTGCTGCCCATGCATTTGTGGAATTGAAGCTATCTGAACAAGCATTAGATGCCTATATGGGCTTAGCATCTGTGGGCTTTCACAAAAGTACCTATGTTACAGCCCAGATGGCTATTGCACATCATGATAGGAGAGGTGAATATACTTATTACTTCCCTCCCATTGAAAGAGTTTTGTTTATTGTGCTATCCTTTTGTCTAGGTAACTAGAATTCTTATACATTGGTCACTTAAAAATTGAGGCAAATCTTGTGTTAGGTAAATTATTTGAAGACTAAGTTTATCTTTTTAAAAAACACTTCGATTATACATAAATATTAATGTTATGAATAATTTTCAAGTGTGGAAGTATCAGAGATATTGTGATAGCTTTAAACTTTTGATTAAAACTTCATCAAATTAAATATGCACATTATAACAAGTTGCATTTTGTTCTTGTCTAACACTTAGAAAAATGAATGTATATTTCGATAATCTACATTTTTTTTTAGATGTTGACTCTTCTCTTGATTTATTTCGAGAACTATACCAGAGTGATCCTTATCGACTAGATAATTGGGATGTCTATTCTCACTTGCTCTACTTAAAAGAAAAAAGAATGGAGCTTGCTAACTTAGCTCAAAGAGCTGTATCTATTGACAAGTATAGAGTAGAAACATGCTGTGTAATAGGTAAGTACTCAATAATATTAAAAATTAGATATTTATACAATTTTATAATTGATTTTTATTCCTTCTATTACAATGTTTATGGTTTGCATGAATTTACAGGTAATTACTACAGTTTAAGAAGTGAACATCAGAAAGCAGTGATGTATTTCCAGAGGGCTCTCTCTTTAGATCCTCAGTACCTTTCAGCTTGGATTCTTATGGGTCATGAATTCATTGAGTTGCAGAATTCAAATGCTGCTATTCAATGCTATAGACAAGCTATAGGTAGGTTCATTCTTATAATATAAGTATTAAATAACTTAATATATGCTTTATAATTATTAAGATTTATAATAGGGATGATGACTAATTTTTTTTTCTTCGTTTATCAGGTAGATTATCATTAAGTATTGGACTCATATTTTTTGTTTTTTCACATAATATAAACATTCCAGAGATATATTGATTTGAAAAGACACATGCGTCACATTTTAGTACAATCGCCCCCCTACTAACTAGCCCCTACTGCCAAACTTTGACGCGCTATAACTTTGTCATTTTTTGGTTGATTGCCCAAAGAAAAAATATGTGTCCATTATTTTTTAAACATCTAACTGACGGACTTAATAGAATTTTGTTTACTGTACCCCGTCATCACCCCTATTTTATTACATCAAGTATATACTTGTAATTACTAAATTAATAACTGAACATAAAACTTAATTAACAAACTATTTTAAGTAAGCTAAATTTTACTTAATGTTAAATGCAATTTCAGATGTTAATAGAAATGATTACAGAGCATGGAATGGACTTGGGCAAGCTTATGAAATATTGGGGTTGAATGGTTACTGTATATATTACTATTCAAGGGCAGCCCAACTTAAACCTGATGATTCCAGAATGTTGGTTTCACTAGGGGAGGCTTATGAGAAGATGGATAAAATACCAAACGCACTGAAATGTTATTATAAAGCACACAGCACAGGTGATATTGAAGGAATGGCGCTCTTCAAATTGGCCAAGTGAGTGCTATGAAGTATATTTGAAAATTGGTCCATAGTATAAATAGAAAAATTAAGTTATCCTGAAACAAAACAGGTTTCCATCCCATTGCACAGTGTTTTATGGAACCAAAAAAATTTACATGTTCAGATTCTTACATAAATAGATTATTTATACCCTAAAAAAGGCTTGAGTTCAATTTACAGAAGTCTAACTCAAATACTTTTTGAGAAAAAAAATCATGAACTTATCGTGACCTTTGACCTATGAAATCTAGAATATTTTTTTATAAAGTGAATATTAACAATACATTTTTTTAATAAATATGTGTCAATCGGGCATAATCAGAGGCGTATAAACGCGTTTCTTTAGCTTAAAAAAATGCATTGGTTTGGGAGCAGCATTTTTTTTTTGTATTTCGTATTTATTGTTTTTTCTCCCTAAAAACGAAAAAGTGGAACCTAGAACTTAGATAGAAATAAACCTACGGATGTGGTCTATCATACATAAATAAGCCACGTGTCACTTTTGCGGCGTTTAGAAGATATTAATTTTTAAATTTTTATGCTAGGGTTGACACCGAGTGTTTTATAGAACCAAAAATATTTACACCTTAAGGTTTTTGCATAAATCAATTATTTAAACCTTAATAAAGGCAAGAGTTCAATTTCCCAGATCGATTTGCATCGGCCTTCATTATACGAACGGCTAGGGAGTGGAACTCCTTGCCGAGGTCTGTTTTCCCGGACCAATATAACCTGCACATCTTCAAGGCCGGAGTGAACAGGCATCTTCTAGGCAGGCGTGTACCATCCTAGGCCTCATCATCGCTTTCCATCAGGTGATATTGTGGTCAGACGCATTGCCTATTTTGCATAAAAAAAAATCTAAATCCAAAATTTCATCACAATCGTTAGATCTGTTTCCGAGAAACCAATTACATACCAATATATTTATATAGGTACATACAATAATTGCTCGTTTATAGTATAGGATGTGTGTTAAAGGACAATGCCAGAAGTTCTATAGAAGTTTAACCCACCCGATAAAAATGGTGTACACGAATGCGATAAATGACATTTCATAGCTGTAATATTAGGAATCAAAATATGAAGGATTTAGAACTTTACTAAGTTCTAAATTCTCTAAAAGCTGTGGTTATTGAATAATATACTTACAAAGAGTACAATTATCATGCGTTTCTCGAGCTGCAATTTGAGCAGAAAATTGGAATTTCTATAAATTATTCAACAGTGTCCGTATTGTAGCTGATAGTGTATAAACGACATGCCTTTGTATTCTATCGACACATAAATAACAATTTATGCATCTCAACATGGTTCCAAATCACAAACGATAATGTCGTACAAATCCTTTTGTTTGACAGAAATGTCTACAAAAGGATATCAATCCAGAATAACGTTTAGTTTCACATAGGTACTACCACTTAATAATGTGTATGCGCATAAAAAATACAAGGTACTATAATCGTTAAACTTTTTTATAAACATAAATTAATTATATTTATAACCGAAATGCTTATTTTATCCATAATATTAAAAAAGAGAACGATATTTTTCGAAAACTTGACTGGCATTTTATTGTTTGTCGTGAAACAAAACGCATATCCCATATTTTCGTTCTTCTCGTAACGGAAACAGTAGATACAAATTATTTTAATATTTATTTCGTATCCGCCGCTTTTACAAAGTAATAATTAAATCGGTACGAGAAAAAAAGTCGTATATATTTTTTCATAAATTTAATATTACTGTATATGGTGGGTCAGAATCTGTCATTGTCATTTTTTCAAACAACATAGTTTATTTTTTCGTTACCGTTTAGCGTGTAAGGTACAAAATTAAAATGTGGTCGTCAAAATTAAAACATAAAGTATTCCTACATTATCACATCTACATTAGGTAGGTAGTATATGTAAGTATATTGTATTCGTCTATAAGTACAACACTTATTCAATTATAACATAATATACTTTATTCAATTGATTGACGGTATTAATTAACAAACAAAAAAAAATTACACTTTCATTTAACTCATAGTTGACCTTTGTGACAACCCTAGATCATGAAAGTTGACCTTTATCTAAATTCTGTCATTACTTCTTAAAACTGCAAAAGTGAAACTTGATTTTTTTATGGGTGATAGAACTTGGCTTATAGAACCTTTCTGTACTAAATCCAGGTTCCACTTTTGCCGATTTTTGGAGAAAAAAATTAAAAATCGAAATTAAAGAAAATATATATTTCTCGGAAACTAGGACACTTATAAATATAATAACATTCCAAATTTATGCCTTCAATAATTCCTTAGCAAGTGGCAAATATCTCATGGACAGATATGGAACCGTCTTTTGAGGAAATTAAATTGTTAATTTCATGCACAAATTTCAAAAACTTTGCTACTTCATATCTTTTTTTTTACTTAAAATAGTGATCTGGGAATTGAACTCTTGCCTTTATTATGGTATAAATAATTGATTTATACAAAAACCTTAAGGTGTAAATTTTTTTTGGTTCCATAAAACACTGTGCATTGCCTTCTACTAAAATATATTTAATAGATACTACAGATTTACCTAAAAGATCAGTATTACTATAAGATCGCAGCGCGAAGCCGCGCACAGTCTCCTCTGCTCCCGACACCGAAACACCTTTTCAAGCAGTACAAGTCTTTTAAGAATGTAGATAAAGTTAAATTAATTTCACATTGAAAGTGCTCGCCGCGTCAGTCGCTGCAGTCCGCTGCTATTTCACTGTAAATCAGCCCTTATTCTAATGCTGTCACAAATAATAAATAATCAAAAAAATATTTTTTTATCTAAGTGTGGTTGTAAAAGTATTTTATTAAATGAACTATTTCAAAATATACTGTTTCACTGTAGGTTGTACGAGAAGTCGAATATGCCAAATAGCGCAGCAGCGGCTTACACCGCAGCGTGCCAAGATGCCGGCAACGCTACAAGTAAAGAGCTGCCGGCCGCGCTGCGCTACCTCGCCCAGTACTACCTTCGCTTCTCGCTGCTGGACCACGCCGCCCACTACGCGTACAAGTGCTTGGAACACGAGAGCGTGAGTGTTTACTGGCTGCCGGCCGACCTCTAGCGTGCCAGGATGCCGGCAACGCTACCAGCAAGGAGCTGCCGGCCGCGTTGCGCTACCTCGTCCAGAACTACCTGCGCTTCTCGCTGCTGGACCACGCCGCCCACTACGCGTACAAGTGCTTGGAGCACGAGAGCGTGAGTGTTTACTGGCTGCCGGCCGACCTCTAGCGTGCCAGGATGCCGGCAACGCTACCAGCAAGGAGCTGCCGGCCGCGTTGCGCTACCTCGTCCAGAACTACCTGCGCTTCTCGCTGCTGGACCACGCCGCCCACTACGCGTACAAGTGCTTGGAACACGAGAGCGTGAGTGTTTACTGGCTGCCGGCCGACCTCTAGCGTGCCAGGATGCCGGCAACGCTACCAGCAAGGAGCTGCCGGCCGCGTTGCGCTACCTCGTCCAGAACTACCTGCGCTTCTCGCTGCTGGACCACGCCGCCCACTACGCGTACAAGTGCTTGGAGCACGAGAGCGTGAGTGTTTACTGGCTGCCGACCGACCTCTAGCGTGACAAGATGCGGCCAACTGCTCCGCTAATTAGTGCCTGTAACATGACACTTATATTCACACCAAATGCCGGCGCTTCACTGGGCTATTCGTGTTTGCTGTTTGTAAAATTGACACCAGGCTATCCTTTTAATTTCTTATAAAGCATGAGAAGGACAGACTGTGGTCAACTTTACAAATATTATATAAGAGTAGCTGTACATATAATCGGCACAGCCGGGCGATAAAATCGAATATATGTAGATGAATGTTCGGCAGTAATTACTTCGGGTCAGCTTTGTTGTTAATAAATACTGTCAAATTGACTATGCCGGTCCGATTATATGTAAGTATAGCTTACCTTTACTGGCTGCCGACCTCTAGCGTACCAGGACGCGGTCAAGTAAGCCAGCAAGGAGTTGCCGCCCACTCCGCTTAAAAGTGCTTGTAACATGATCCTTATAAATAGTGGGATTGTAACAGGTGCAGAGTGTTATCTTCCTCACACTTGTGGCAAATAATTCACACCTAAGTGGTCACGCGTCTCTTTAAAATTTTTCCACATTTTACCCTTTCATCATACTAACAAGGTTTGCAAAACTTAGTAATTTGTGAGCTGATTTAAACATTCGTTTTGTTTTAGATTTTAAGCAACAAAATCAGATAAAATCTTAATAGGAGTTTAATAAATGGCCTCTTCTTTTGATACAACTAATGATATTTACTATTTATTTACAGACCAAAGAAGCGGGGAAGAATATCTTAAAGACGATATCTGAAAAGAGACTAGCAGCGTCGTCATCACAACCAACCAGCCTACCTGAAGATTTACCAGAAGCTATTAAGAATGTTTCCGCGATATCGATATCGCACGAAGCACCCAAGACCCCTTTACCCAGTCCAAACGTCACACCAGATAATTTCTCCACGCCGGTATTTACAAGGAAAAACAGTAAATACAAAATGTGACACATCGTGTCTAGAAAGTGTAAAATGTAAATAAGAGACTGATATTGTTAATAATTAATAAATTAATGATAGCTTGATAATAAGTTTTAATTAGGTACATAATTACTAAATAAAATATACAAATCTCAGACTGGAAATTACTTATTATTCCGTTATTCAAAGCGTGAAATTGAAGATACCTATAAACACCAAAGGTGACCAAAACACTGACCGTCATGCTACCCGGGTGCTGATTCTGCTAAGATAAAAAGTAATAATAGTGTAAATCGATGGTGTTTCAGTATTTTAATTTTTGACCCAGTTTTGCCTCGCTCACCGGGTCGATGGGGGCTCTTTTCCTTTCTGTATCGAATCTGTACAGAGCATAGTGCAACGCTGCCGACGCGGCCAGGAGGTAGGCTTTCACAGCGTTCCCCTCTGTCGATCTTCCCCCGCTGTTGGGCCAGCTCAAAAACAAATCGGACATTTCACTACACTGAGTCAAGTCGTGTGTGTACTGCCTGGTCCGCGTGGAATTATTTCTAGTATTTTTTTTTAGATTTAAACATCTAGCAGTCAAATGCTTAAAAAAACATACTATTTTGTTAAAAATTAAAATCTATTCAGCGCTGTCATTTTTTATGTGTAAGTCGTAATTACAATTTAGTTTTTGCGACTGGACTTGCAAACGTTGGACTGAATTTGTATGCATATTTAGCAGTAGCCTTTGTTAACGCGTCGGCACATACGAGTTATTATAAAAGTTTTAAGTAACAGTAAAATACGCTTAGGTACACCCAACCGCCTTCGCCGCGGTCGGTGTTTTTGAGAATGTAAACAAACAGAATAGTGCTTAAAATCAAAAATAATACAATATTATTACTGTGTCTTAAGTAGGTATATTGTCAAATCCTACCACTGATGTATTAGACAAAGATGTTCCGCCAATTCCCTTGATAGGAGCCGCTTTGCGTGATGACCTGTCTCTTTTCATTCATTACAAAAAATGTGATCGATTAATACTTCCGTTGTGTTCCTAATTTTTAATGTCGACAAAAAAAAAGTAAAATATATATCCAATGCGAAAAAATCAGTGCTACCGCTTAAAGTAAAAGTTCTTTAAACGCTTGCCAAAGCCTGACAAATAAAAATTAATCAATACTGAGAAAGGTTTCAATTAAATTGATCAATTAAAAATATTGTTTTTAATATTTTTTTTTGCCAACTACTACTACTACTGGAACGTATCCCCTATAATCCTATATAAATTAACATTCGGTAGTCACGGTTTCTGTATTCGCGGCATATTTCTGGAACTTATACCCCGCGAATAAGGAGCTCTTACTGTAATGTAGTGCTCATGCTATGGGGACAGAGTAAAACTAGCTTTTTCAATACAAAAATTGACAACGACGATATGCTACGAAGCTATCAAAAATTCGTGGTTGGGCCTTGGATTCTTAACGGATAACCGCTTCTTAACCGGCTCGGTTTTGTTAGCGGGATTGGTGGGACGTGCGAGTCGAATGGTTCGGTAGCACTTGATACAGAGAGCTCAGCATCCGCTCGGTAAAGCTTCTGTACCCGAACTACGCAATGAGGAGAACCTCTCAATAAAACGAAACGAACGCATACCGACTCGATGTGAGGAAGGCGCCTTATTGTTAATTTATCACAAAATTACAAACTTAATTGCAGTGGCGGGGCAAGACCTAAATTTGATGTGAGCAAGACAGATTTCGCGAGGCCCTGGTTTGTGGCGACCTGAAGACGGATTTTATAAAAAAAAAACACTTAAGCAATGCATAAAAATTTTCGAGGCGCGACGCCCCTTTGTACCGCGAGGCCGTAGGCGGTGGCCCACGTCGTTGCGCCTTACGCCGCCTCTGCTTAATTGCTTACTTATTTGTTACAAAAACAGTATCAAAATGCGTAACTATTGAACCGATTATTACGTTAGCTAATCCGGTTTCACACTTGACGGCAAGGGCGGATCCAGCTTTGGCGCCAGGGGGGGGTCATATAGTCGTGGTCAAGTCACAGTGGGTACAGATTGTGATGTGGGTACAGATGGACCCAGCCCAGGGGGGGGTCATGACCCCCGTGACCCCCCTCTGGATCCGCCCTTGCTTGACGGAGGTGATTTAAATTGATCAACTTTTATCGGTCAATTGATTTTCTTCAGTTTTATGGCTTTAATTTGTTTGAAAATACGTTCAGACAGTTGTCGCATGCGATTTAGCAGTTAGTCAACTAAAATCGCCTCGTGTGAACCCGGTATAACTAAATCAATTCAACACCCAGACCAGGCTGTTATTGCACATCCAGTATACCACTGAGCAGGTAGCAGTATACGAGGGCCAATCTCCTAACGGGATGGCTATGTCTATCGCTTACGATTTCTTGTTATTTCTGACCGCCGAAGATTTTCAAATGCCTCGTGTTCGTTTTTTTTTCTTTTGCATTGGTAATAACAATATTAAAGAAAATGAGCATGATGTATTTGTAAACCTTCGGTGGTCAAAATAACAAAATGAAATACTTAGTAAGCGATAGCCATAGCAATCCCGTTAGGCAATTGACCCCAGGTGGCACAACATAGCCCGCACTCCCGGTGCGCATTAGGGGGACTGCGGTCCTCAGAATGCGCGCCAGGTGACCGGTGCAAGAGTATTATCTGGTTTTTACTGGGTTGGACCCTGCTCATTACGCAGAGCCTTCGGTCTGGGTGAAATGAGTGGGGAAGTCTTCAGATACCCAGACATTAAAATGACAAAAGGCCAGGCTGTTATGAGCATAAAATATATTTGTTCCAGAGTCATGTTCGTTTATATACTTTGAATAAACTATGTATTGAGTATATTATACTTCATTTAGTTGCCATATTAGAAGAGAAGCCCAAGCAGGGGATTTTGGGATTTACTCGAGTGCTGCAGAATAACATAAGGGGAGGGACCTTGCTCCTTGTGAAGTACTCCCACCATACCTAAGCACTTTATAAAGGATCGAACATATGGCAGCAAACATTTTAACAATTGGCCATGACCTTTTGTTGCTTACAATCATGGCCGACTTTTTTTTTGTTGCCCTAGTAGTTCGACCCTATATAAAGGGCTCAGGTATGGTGGGAGTACTTCACAAGGTGCAAGTTTGCCCGCTTTCTCTGCCGCGCTCCAGTAAATCCCAAAATTCCCGCTCGGGCTCCCCTACTATATTACAAGCTTTAGCTGAGTTATGGAACAAGTATTGTTGAGAGTTAGTTAGAATTTAATAATAAACAGAGTTGACAATTTTTTGATGGAATAGGATGTTAAAAAAAATAACTACAATTATGTAAAAAAATATTTAATAGTGATTAATTTTTACAACTTCTATACAAATTAACAGATCTTAGTGCTCAAGCAGTAAAAAACAACTAAAACTAAATAAATAGCAAAGTGCATTGATTAAAAATAAGATTTGTTCAAATTAGCTCATTGCAATTAAAAATAAAATTACTGATTATAATCACAGATGAAATACATGTTTCGAGAGCTCATTTCATTATGTATGTCAATGCAATTATGTTTTGTATAAAAAAGTTATTAAAATTTAATATATTTGTATATAAACAATCCACTTAAATCTTTTACATTTTATAAAGCTGAAATAATACACAGAAATGTGAAAAAGGGATATTTGTGTTATTATCTTAATATTTAGTGTGCTTTCATCCAAAACTGTAACAAAGTTATCGCCGTAACATCCAATAGGAAGGATAACTCATTAATTTGTTCCGACCAAACGGTGTGAACAAAACTGTATAACATATTTGACGTGACTAGCAGGAGATATAAGTTAGTAAGTACACTTACATCTCTATAACTAGTTGAGTTTTTAGTTTCAAAATAAGGCACACTTATCAAGCTTATTTGTTGAAAGTCATGTGGTTTCAAGACCCCTGTGTTCATAAATTACCAGGTACTTCTTAATTATTTCTATAACGACGAATACAAGTATATTAAAAAGAAGAGATGTCAATATTCTACAACACCATAGTTGTCATTGCGATAAAAATAGTTGGTACAATAATAAACATTTTACATAGATATGGCTTTAAGATCAAACTATTGTTCCCAGAACATACAATAGTCACACAATTTTGTACTCCAACTTTTGTCTTATAATAAGACCACTATCCATAGTATAGTAAAGAAACTATAATCACACTTTATCAGTCAATGACGCTTAAGAAAAATGTGCTTATCAAATATGACTCACAGACGTTGACTGCGGCTAAATGTGAATTAATAAGTAAACAATGACAAATTTAGGCAATGAATATGAACATGAAGCAATACAAGGTCATTACAAATGTATATTTTCTAAAAACTATACATTTCATTAGCATCATTTGGAAACTACCTACCAATGAATGGGTTATCAATAATTTAGAATAAAGCTAAGACCAGTATTTCATTCTAATTCTAATGTACCGACCACAACGAAGTAACCATTTTCATTTATGATATTTTAATACTTATATAAATATTTAACTTTCTCATGACAATTAAGGCAGATTGAGGCACTGACTGTTACAACCATTTTAAGCATGTTAAATTTACAAAAAATAGAATATAGTAAAAAGGAGATTACCACTATGGCAAAACATGAACTGCTATAAATATTATAAATCTATTTTACATAATTTATTAATAATAGGTGTATAACTTTGTAGCTTGATTTGTGCTTTTGTTGCATAATTTGTTCCTTTATCGCTTTAATCCAGTTTCTTCATTCCATCAAGTTACAGAAATGGATTATTTGAATTCACAAATCCTCCGTTGTTAACCGATGGCTGTAATTACAAATGATAATAATGATTAATGCTCAGTAAGTTTAGTCTAGGGAGTAATAAACGGTTGCTTTGGGCATGATAACAGACTGATAAATATATGTCAATTGCGCAAAATACCTATACAACAGAGTAACATCACTTCCTGCTGCAAATTTGTTTAAAGGAAGTTTAAACAGTTTGATAATTGTATTTATTATAATCACATTAGGAGGATGTGATGATTAACATAGATTCGACAAAAAAATAACTTGATAAAAAAACATGTAATAAGTTAAATCTTTAGATTTAAGTAACTGTAATAAGTGTTAGAGATGAATATTTTTTTCAAATTTACTTTGTTTAAAACAAACCAAAGGGTCCAAATACTAGCTGACTTCATGGAAAAGGAGGGCCATTTTATGATTAACTTCTTCTAAACGCGGCTGAAGAAGGATAACGGCTGCCATATCGCCACGAAGCCAGAGATTTTGAGGGAAGTCGAAAGCTTCTATTTCGTTATACCCCTCAACACAAAAACTTTAATGATTTAGCTAAAGACCCCAGAGTTAAATTTTCCCGAAATCTAAAGAACACCAACGCGCCAGGAGATCCATAGCAAGCTCACTTGATGTGACGTGTTAACGCCGCGACATCGCGCGTTAACACGCGCACGTCCACCCGAAGAGCGCTCCAATTTCTACATTCTACCAGTGTTGGGCGTAATTAATTACTTTTGTAATTTATTTACTAATTCAATGAATAGTAATTGAATTACTTTAATTGAAATTACATGTATTTGAAATTACTGTAATTCAATTACTTACGTCCGAAGTAATTTAAATTACATTAGTTTATAATTCAAATTACTCAATTACTTTTTAAGGGTAACATAATAAACTACTAAAATTGAGCGGTTATTAGCTTGATGCCCGTACGCAGCACAACAAAAAGTTTTAGTGTATAATTTGCCATGAATTTATGAGTGTGTAAATGTGTGCCTCGTTACCAGTACCTACACAGCTACCTATCCCTTTTCTAGTCTCTTGGCGGCGTGCACCTTTATTTCGATTGATTGTTCTCATATGCTACAATGATTAACTTACCAAAATCTTACAGACTTTCTGATCGAATGTTTGAACAAAGAGTAGTATTAATGTCTAATTTAAAATAAACTAGCCAACCAGGCAAACTCCGTTTCGCCATCAGATGGCTTCGTTTTATGTAACATTTCGTTTGGTGATTAGAAGAAGATTTTTTTTTTTAAATTTTTCCTGAATTTTCTTTGCTATAAACCTCACGGAGCCCGAGACCTTTCCAACGAATGCAAAACCGTGGAAATCGGTTCGTGCGTTCTGGAGTTATAGCGTCAGGAAGGAAAACCCGACTTATTTTTATATAGTAGATTAAACATTTATTGTCTTAATTTTAAACAAGTATATTATAACTTAATTATAACCACTATAATTACACAATTTATTTGATCTATTTCGTAAATAAACATTTGATAAATCATAATAGTTTTATTTAAAATACTACCTCGTCTTTAAAAGAGATTATATATAAGTAATTGACAAATTGCAATTAACTAATTTTTCCTAACTGTCCCGTTAACGGGGCGGGACGACAGGGGTGGATAGTATCACTCACTACCGCCATATTAAAGGATTATACCAAACGTTAGAACTTATTAATGGTTGGAAACTATTAAACAAACAATATCGTCATAGCAAACCATCGACTTCTACAATCGTAAATAAGGGAATATTGAATTTATGAAGGAGCTCCATGGTGCAAGTGATTAGCGCGTTCGGTCTGCGATTGTGGAAGTTAAGAAACTTTCAACGTTCAATGCAATGGGCAGTCATTAGTTGGGTGGCTAAAATTTTGGTTGCAATCCGTATTAGGGCCGTGTAGTAGGTCATGATATGGGCTAATCTCCCTATTCCATCTATAGGGAAGGCCTGTGCCGCAGCAGTGGGGATATAAATAGGCAGATAATGGTGTTGATTCTGACATAATTCTCTAAACCTAACTTAAATTTGACAACAGTGTATCCTTGTCATTCTTTCTCTATACAGAATGAAAGGGAGAGACTGATCTTAAAGGGAACAACCTCTATTGAAACTTATGTTTTAAAATCAACTTGATGTACAAACACAATTATGTACATTTCGCGACCAGCTTCCGTTTAATCCTTGAGAAATGAAAAAAAATAACCATACGCATGATTATTATTCAAAGTAATATATCTCAAAAACTAATTAAGCTAGAGAAGAGAAACCAACGCGTACCTTTAGGTTTTATTACAGAGTACGTTATATATATATTTTTTTTTTTTAAATTTTATGATTTATTTTAAATAAAATATAAAAATCATATTTTTTTTCTTGTTCTCTAACACTTACAATCATGAAAATAATATATGTTATGCTCCTTTATGTGCACTATCTATAATATAAAAATGAATCGCTGAATGTGTTGCTCAGCGCAAAGCTCGAGAACAGCCAAACCGATTTCGATAATTATTTTTTTAGAATATTCCTTGAAGTATGAAGATGGCTCTTACGCAGAGAAAAATTAAAAAAAATGCATGTAAAAGTACAAAAACAACACTTTTCTATACTCCCATAAAAACGATTCGTAATAATACTTAAAAGTCAATTTGAACTTTAATACCGTACCATAAATTTCAAATGTTAGTGGAGAGTTCCAGGAAGGCAAAACAATTAAGTGAAGTGATGTCAATAGAAGTTTGGAAAAGGCAAATACATATACCATTTTCAGTTTTTTTTTTATAATTATATGAAGTCATTTTAGTCCACACTACACCTCTACACCGAAGCGAAGCGAGAGCGGGTCACTAGTTACTCATAAAAAGTACGTGAAAATAAATTGGTGCAACACTCCGAAAAAAAATTTGATTTTCGAAGTGTTACACCAATTTATTTTCACGTAATTAGAGTAATAGTACACATAAAGGAGAGTAACATATATTATTTTCGTGATTGTAAGTCTTAGAAAACATGAAAAAAAGAAGATTTTTTTATATACCGAGTAACTGTGGGTTACTTTGACCTAAAATGTGCACTTTTTTTTTCAAATAAAATTGTAGCTTCTCTTTGTGATGAATATGTCACGTTTATATCTTGCCATTGTGAACATATACGTTACAAAGTTATCATACGAAAATAGGAAAAAAATATATTTAAGGGTTAGTATATATTTTTTTAATTTTGGGCTAAAGTTGGCCTTAAAGAGGGTTACTTTAGCTCGTTGAATTTTCTCTGTGAAAAAAACTCATTTTAAGCCATGTTGGGGTTAAGTAACCCTTATAACAGATCACCATTAGCATATTATAATACACAAATGGATGTTATTGCCCAAAAATAATTGAGTTAAATAAAAAATATAACTTTAAAGGACATTGGGCAAAAATGTATGGACGCTGCACCCACGTCCGCCACGGCTTAAACTACCCTTGTTTAAAAAAAGGTATTATAGTCATGATCATCTGTGCCAAAGCGCATCAAATTCCATGCCGGGGGTCTTTAGTTATTTTAAGTTAAATAGGTAGGTACAAGTACTATAACGAACGAACATTATTGAAACAATGGAATTAATTTAGTTAGTTAGTTCGATACTACATAGGGGGGCTCAGGTATTATGGGAGTACTTCACAAGGTTCAAGGGTGCTCCCTTATGTTATTCTGCCGCACTATAGTAAATCCAAAAATCCCCGCATGGGTTGGGGTTTTTTCAAACATTCTGTTCGTTATACATAGTAAATTGTCTTCTTTGTAAAACGGAGCGATCACAAATCACCCAAACTTGTCCATGTTTCGGATAAAACATGATTCCAGTTCATCCATACTAATTGACAAAACCGTGTTGGTTAAAAATCAATCAAGTGTCAGGGAACGCACATCACAATGAAGTAAGACGAGTCGACTATTTGCAACTGCAAGTCCGTCAACCCCCGTAAACCTTTTTGAGGTAGCTCAGAAGTGCAAGCGCACGATGGTCGGCAGGCTTTTCGTATATCTGGTTGTATAGTACGATAAGGCATATTATTATGATTATTAATAATATAAAATAAAGTTACTATAAAATTAATTTATTGAGCTATTTAAATATGCCCATGTGTCATATCTTTTGACTACCAGGGTATTTTTTACGGTGCAATATCTTTTGACTACCAGGATATTTTTTACGGTGTCATATCTTTTGACTCCCAGGATATTTTTTTACGGTGTCATAATAAAAAAGGCTAGTTTTTCATAGATCTATTGATTCATACTAATTACATTGTTGGCGGAGCTGGGTGCGTTTTGCCCATTGTCCTTTAGAAAAAATAGTAAACTTACCGAAAACCCCAGTTTTGAGAAAGTTTGCGCATGAACTTGCGAACTATTTCAATTACAAAAAATCCCGCGTTACAATGACAACTAGATACAGGAACGATGTCGGTAAAACAACACCACACTACGCGCCTATATGGCTATCTGTGATTACGGTCACACAAGAGATACTGATGGGGCGGCAAGTTCAATATTTTTTCTGATTTGGGACAAAGTTACCCGCCCGAGCTAAAGTAACCCTCACGTACGGTATATATTGTATTTAAACAACATAAATTTAAAACAAATGTAGTTTGTAATAAAACCTAAAGATTCGCGTTGGTTTCACTTCTCTAGCTAAATTTGTTTTTGAGATATATCACTTTGAATATTAGTCGTGCGTATGGTTATTTTTTTCATATCTCAAGGACAAAACGGAAGCTGGTCGCGAAGTGTACATAAATTGTGTTGGTACAACAAGACGATTTTAAAACATAAGTTTCAATAGAGATTCCCAATTGGGGGCCGGCTTGTCATACTTATCCGGCTAGACCCCTTAGTTTTAAGTTTAGAGAATCATGCCGGAATCAACACCAATTATGTTATATTCTATAAATTTAGAAGAATTCCCTCACGTCACACCACTAACAATTTTCATTAATTTTAAAAGGGACCTGGGGGAAGGATGTCCTATGTCCCTGGTTCCATTTACTGATAATATCAGAGTATGACTGTGTGCAACGCTTCCCCTGACCTCATAACTTGTCCCGTGGAGATTAGGGTATAGATAAATTACCATCTTCCTTTTTGGCAATCCTATTCTATGCATAATAATGTCTTTCTCAACTATGAAATGAGAGATTGAGGTAACTATTATCACAGAAAAACAATACCACCAAGAATTATTTTGTTACAGTAGCAAAAAAGAAATGAAGAAGCAGATAATATTATTTAACAATATTTTTGTTTTTGCCCATATATATGTTAAGGGAACAAGTATCATTTTACTGTTAATCAGACTTATAAAACATGTATAAGTTTGCTGTAGATCTACAATAACATAATTATTATACAGTACTAATTCACATTGACATAGATAGACAAAATAGAATTAGTGGTAAATGTAAGACTACATGCAATGCTTAACACCAGATTTAAGACAACTCAAAGAAAAATCACCTTGATTTACATTATTTTGTATCAGTATGCATTCATGGGTGCCTATAGTGCATCACATCAAAATAATTAGTATGGTTATCATGTTTCCTGTAATCATTTTGAGTTGACAATTATAGGTATTACCCAAGGAGCATGAGCACCATGATATCATTATCCTACTACTATATAAAACAATATTGGTAGGTATCTGCTCCAATATTATATCTCCAATGAAATGTAATTCCACAAAGTACATTTAATAATAATATTATTTTGGTGGATTATTGTTGGATATGGATATGTTGATAGTATTGGATTGATTAAAACAATTAATTCATACAAAATATCATTTTTCTAGTGCAGCCACCATAAAGTGTTGACCTTTGCCTAAAATTTTCATATTTGAATAGTCTTTTAAAAGATAAAAAAGAAAATATTACAAGATGAAAGGTTAGAGTAATTTATTGAGCATTGTATACAAAATAATAATTCAAGGTTACTGTAACCCCTCAACAATACAACCAACATTGGTTTTTATTTGGCAAATATTGTATAACACTACACACTACTTACCAAAAATGGATTTACTGGAACTTGTGTAGAAGAACTCCATCCTCCATTAAAAAATGGATTTTTATTAGCAAAGAAATCATTGGTTGACGAGCTTTGGAATGGGTTTTTATTAATAACATTGTGAGGTTCCTCTGAAATTATTAAACATGTAAGTGTCAGTTCATCTTTTCTATTTCATAAACACAACATTTTTTAAGCTCCTATACCTGCATACTTTACTTAAGGCTGGTAGATGTATGTCTTATTTATCTAAACACAAATGGAGTTTAAAGTAAGCCTTTATGATAAAGTATTTCAAACACATGATAAACCCTTAATCCAAGTTGATAGCTTCCAGGCACTTAAATCCAAATATAAACTGGACAAAGTAAGAAGTTTAAAAAATTTGCTTGATTTGTCAATTTAATAAAATTACTTACCCATATTTTTCATGTTTTGTTGTCTCAAAGCCAGATCTAAATCTGCAAGAGCAGCATATCTATCATCTGCAAAAAAAAATATAAAAATGGTAAGTAATGAAATAGGTCAACAGACAGTAATAATAATGTGCACAAAACTTTGTTTCTGTAAGCTAGGTACTTTTAGGACTGAAAATAACGAAATAAATATTAATATTTAGATAGTAACCACAGTACAAATTTGCCATAGTATAGCACTAAATAACTGTCTGTTTTGAATGGTCACAAATATATAAATAGCAATTAATATTGTTATTATTAATGAAAATCCTACATTCTCTTTCTATTTATTATATTGTAGGTGGTGCATAAATATATGAAACAAAAATATCATCTAGGAAAGTCTAGGAAAAATTCACCAAATCTGGTATCTATTAAAGGGAAAACTCCCAGTTAGTTGCTGTGCTACATAATGATTTGCAAATACTTACTTGTTGAGGAAGCAGGCGAATTAAAGGCATTTACAGTTTGTGCTTTTGCTGCAAGTGTTTGAGTGACCATATTGTTGTTCATGTTATTATTCACCTGGCTACTGTTGTAAATATTTGCAGTTGAAAAATCTACTGGAAAACTGGAATACATAATAAAATTGCAATTAAACATTTTTGTATTGTATCAGTACCAAAAGTTGATAACACTGACATTACAGTGCATTTGTGTAACAATGTATTACATGTGCTTTTAATGATTAATACTTACTCAGGTACAGGTGGCGCAACATTTTGTACTGGCACATTAATGTGACTGAGCACTGGTTGTGGATAGTTTACCACTGGACGAGCTAATTTACTACTAGTTTCATTCACTGATGCCAGATAACTATTTGTCACTTTACAAGTTTTCACCACGGTATTATTATTCACGGAAGTTTTTGACGACTGCGGCGATATCGCTATCAGAGGCGACGCACTAGCAGCTTTAACTTTTGATTTACTTGTTACAGATGAACCCCCATTGACAACAGGATTTGCCTGCGATTCCAAGTAGTAACGTTTCTTTTCATATTTATCCGACATGAAATCTTTCACGCTTTGTTCATCTGTGAAGTTAACACTTTCACCCTCGTAAAGGCCTAACCACACACGCCTACAGTAGTCGTTGCCTCTGGTTTTAATTAAATCAATCTCTTCGGGAGTAAAAGTGGCCATGGATATTGACTTTACACGATGAGGAGGTGTGAGGCCACGCCTGAAATACAAGACAAATAACTTGTTTGTTGGTCTCATTTACAATGCTATACAATAACGCAAAAACTTCACTTACAACATTCCCGAACATTTCGAACACACAAAGGATCCAATTGTAGTATTAACATATGTTGGTCCTCTTTGGTTACAATCTAAACAATATTTATTACCATTTAAAGAGATTAATTCACGTAAAATTTCTAAATTTTTGTCGTCCTGCTTTCGTCGATTTGCAGCCATTTTTGAAATGCATAGAATTTTGATCGCCTGAAATTGTCAAACAAAATGACACTGTCACTACAAAGATAAATGTCAATGAAATTTTTTGTTGAATATTCTTCGTTTTGTGGTGACAAACGATGATGAGTTCTTAAAGCCTAACATTTACGCGTAATTTAGAGCAAATTTTCTGAACATATTTTATAGATAACTTGCTATCGTTATTTCTCATCGTAGAAATAGAATTTCAGACAAATATTATACGCGTTTTTTAAGGTTTCTGTTTAGTTTATCTAAGTTAAGTTTCAAAGCTCTCAAACTAGCCAAACTCGTTTTCCCATACAAACTTTGAACCACTATAACACCCAATTAACGGTGGAATATTCGAATCCTTTCTCGCGTTTCTTGCTTACGTCATTAAAACAACCTATTTTCTAAATATCATGTCTCTACGACCAAAATAGTAGGCGTGCGTTGACGCACTATTTAAAATTTCAACATGCTAGATCTGTATTTTATGAGGGTAGCTTTAAAAATGAAAAAGCAGATCTTTTTTTTAAGCATTTAACTGCTAGATGTTTGAATATAAAGAAAAGTTTTTTCTAGTAAACTTTTCTTAATCCTATGCACTTATGGATGTTCTCCCATACAAACTTTGCACGAAATTTTATATTTTTTTGGGGGTAGTTGTAAAAATTGTATGCTTAGTGTACATCTATTAAATAATGTTTATGCAAAATTTGCAATCAATTGGTCCAAGGGATAAGATTCTTCGAACAAAGTTCTTTGCAAATTTCATGCATAAGAGGCTGAATTTCAAAAAATCCCATCTTATATTTCTCTAGGCAATAATAGGACCCTACTGTCCATATTTCATCATTCTTGGTCCAGCCGTTTTGGCGGTGCGTTGATCACTTGAGTCTGTCAGTGTATCCTTTTCTCTCTTTATTTAGAAGTATAGTTTTAAAAATAGTTAAAATAAAAGAATAATAGCTATTTTACTAAAAAATCACAAAAATAGATCATGAAAGTTATATTACAAAAATTTTAAATGTCCATGTCATTTAAGTTGACAATGAACTGACCTGAACCCTCCCTGAAATGTTTTTTATTCATTTTGTATCACTAGCAAGGGCAGCCGTCCCTGGCTACGTACTAGTCTCTTACCTCCTACCGATGAGATTTGTTGAGATGCTGTAGGGAGTTATTAGCCTACTAAAAAAAATATATACCCAATAATATCTCTAAACAATTTCTTTATTTTCATTTAAATAAAACAAGTTTTTAGATAAGTCGCTACCTTTCTCTTTTTTGTTAGCTATTCTTGATCCAAATTGCAACGCTCTTTTAGGCAACACCGCAACTTTTTGTAGTCCAAGATGAAATGCAGTAAGTCGTAAGAAAAGTTTATCACCTATTCCAGGTCCTAAATCTTCGCTTGGAAAACATCTGAAATGTAGGTATAAATTTCATCAGTAACTTCAAAACATTGTCTGAGACGACATTATGCAGAAATATCGAAGACTCCAAAAAACTAGGGTCACGGTTAAGGTTGTACCCGTACTCTGAAATAGAGTACTTTACTATTATCCTTTTTCATGTAGGCGTATTAAATAAACTTTTTTCACTAATACCTATGAAAAATAGTTTATTTGCCCTAAAAAAGGTGGCAAGTGGCAACCTTCGTCATGGTAGCCCTAGACAAGGCATAAGGACAATGTATCCATTGCCAATACATGATGACTGTTTAAAGATATTAATGGATAATGAATAAATGAGGCAGTGATATTGGTCTCACTCAGCTCCCTACATGGCACTACACTCAAAAAAAATTAAGTCCCTGATGACAATAGGGGTGATGACGGGGTACAGTAAACGAAATTCTATTTAGTCCGTCAGTTAGATGATCAAAAAATAATGGACACGTATTTTTTCTTTGGGCAATCAACCAAAAAATGACACAGTTATAGCGCGTCAAAGTTTGGGAGTAGGGGCTCGTGACGTCACTTTTTAGTGATTTTTCACTTTTAAGTGTGACCCCACACTAGCGTCCTTTGAGCATCGGCGTCTTGCCGGCGACCTCCCCACACTAGCGTTTTTTGGGCGTTGCGTTTACGCGGCGCCCGCGCAACGTCGGCGCGACGTTTGAGCGGGGACGACGCTACGCTTGCGCTGGGTGTCTCTTCACGTCGCGATTCAGCGTCGCGCCGCGCAGACGCCCTGTACAGTCATTTCGAAAATGGATTCCGACGACTAGCATTGATTCCGATTTTTTTTATTATGATCTATGTTGTTCAAATAATGAATGATTTGTATTTGAATTATTATCCTTAGATTAAATCAATCTAAGTTATAATCTTTTTATAAATCTAATAACTTTATCTTTTATTATCTAAGCGCTAAAATTATTTGTTTCGTACTTACCGAATGGTGACAACAAGTCTTTCTTCTGGAAGGATTGGTTGTTTATGCCAATTACACCAATTTTTGTAATGAAAAAGAAAATGTAATTAAATGTTTCTTTAGTCATTCTTGCATATGCATAAAATCTTTGATCATCAAATTTCAATTTTTTAACAAATAAATGATGGTATTCTCCGAAACGTTTCCTTTCTCTATTTATAGGATGTATAGCTTTTTTTCGCATTTTTAAATACACATTTTCTAACAAAACCAAATCATCGTCAGATGAGTCCGACATTTTGCTTGTTCTGCTTTAATCGTCTTCGTTTATGTAGGAAGGATCGGCGCCGATAAGCGCCGATCGGCGCTGATCGGCTTTCGGCTTTCTTTCTGTATACGGCCTAAGCGCCGATAAGCGCCGATCGACTTTTGGCTTTCTTTCTGTATACGGCCTAAAGCGTCAACGTTGTAACTGAGGTGCGGAGGGGTAGCCGGTAGCGGGCGGGCCGAAGCGATTGGGTTGATCATTGTACTATTGACAAAAGAAACGCTGCGCAGAGGTCGCGCAGACGTTGCGCCGGCGCGACGTCTGCGTAGCGCAGTCCTGACGTTCGTCACTTCGGCAAGCTCCAGCGCCCTATTCGAACCACGCCGCTGCGCAAGCGTTGCGTCGGCGTCGCGTGGGCGTCGACGCTCAAAGGACGCTAGTGTGGGGTCACGCTAAGTGTACTCAAACGTGACGTCATGCGACTTTTCAAATTAATATATCTCTGCAATGTTTATATTATGTGAAAAAAGAAAAAATACGTGTCCAATACTTTTTGATAATCTATCTGATAAACGAAAAAAAAAAATTAGTCATCATCCCTATTTACTCTGAAGATAATAAAAACTTTAAATACAAACTATTAAAACTTATAATTATAAAATGATTAAAAGTCAGGAAAAGGATATTGTTTTTTTAGATATAGTAATAGAGCAACGTGCGTGAGCAATTGAGCTAATAACTAAATAGTACTAACTTGAACCATGGCTTCAGTTCCAAAACATGCTGAGTGAAATCCTCATCTAGATATGGCATTCTAGGCTGTCGTCCATGATCGGAAATAACGCGATTATCTCTTGCTAAGTTTCTGAATGAAATTCTTTTCCAATCAAAAAGCAACTCCTTATGAAGACCTATCCAACCATTGCGTTTGAAAGCATTTCTATGCCTAGTATAGCCACCAAATAATTCATCAGCCCCAGAACCTAATATCAAAACCTGTAAACAAAAATAATTTGTCACTTCCATACAATTTATACTTGATGACCTTCAAAACACCCTCAACAAATTGTAATGATTACCCTGCATGGTGACACTATTTCTCCATCATTTCCCTGTGCAGCAAACCACATTGCTGACCCCAGGCTTTCATCCAAAATTGTCTGTCTAGGATATATTAAATCTGCAATAACTTTTTCTTGGTTTTCTAACAACACATCATTTGGTATGTTTATTTCTTTAAATATCCAATTTCTGTGTGGACACAATTCTTTCAACTCTTCTAAAGATTGCTTACCAGTCAATCTGTCTGGAACATCATATGTATTTTTATCCTTTTTAAAAGCAACATTTATAAGATCTATACTTTGTTCCTTAGGTAAATGTTTGTCAACTAAATAAGCCAATATTGTACAATCAAGTCCTCCCGAAAACAAGATTCCAAGAGAGGAATGGTCACAGAAATTTGTACTGTACAGACAATTTTTGCATTTCATTGGTTGTGTTTTGGTTCGTAATTCTACACTCTTATCTAGTAAATCCAGTATTTTGACAACAGATTTTCTTATTTCAGTATTATTCAGGAGAGTATTCATTATTGCAATTTTATCATTAGTTTTTTGAGCAGTAATTTCAATCCATGTTGTGACACTGTCCTAAGAAATACATCATAATCATCATCTTAGACATTTATTACTATGATTTTAAAGACAAAACAACATTTAGGTAGTTTTATGCCTATAATACTGACCTCATAGTTAAAATCCAAATCCAAGTTGCAATCCAAGTCAAAATTGTTGTCAAGGTTCTGTAGTAATTTAACAGATTGTAACCATTCATCTATTTTATACTCGTGTTCTAACATATTGTTATCCCATGGATACAGTTGAACTTTATATGTGGTTAAATTTAGTATATAAATATTTGTTGCTGGTATTTCAATACATTCATACGTTCGACCTGAAAATTTTAATTAACTTAAATATGATTTTAAAATATGGCTGATTATTAAAAAAAGTATACAATGATACTGCATTAACCTCCATGCCTCAGGAGCATAAAATTAGGCAGGTATTTACCTAAAACACTGCTTATTTTTATTGAATTACCGTCATTGCAAAACAACAAGGAATTTCTTCCAATTATATCCCTGCAAAAAATTATTTCATTGGTTGATTTGTTAAAATAAATCAAACTGAATGGACCTTTCAATTTTTTTATCTCGTTGACTATTTCTTCTATGGATACAGCCTAAAAAACAGAAAACAAAAAAAAATATTTAGCTTTAGTGGCCATTGTTTAAAAATCTTTTGATTAAATGGGTTTTAATAGTTTTGCTCATAGTACATACTGTTTTGAATCTACCCAGGATAATCTCAGTATCATTTTTTTCTTGGTCCCAATTCCAGTCAAATATGTCACCATTGTACAAAAGAATTCCTTTGTCATTTTCAAGGGGCTGTAAAACTGGATGAGACCCTTGCATCCATAATACTGCTCCACAAAAATATAAATTAATGGCTTTTAAGTTCACTTCTACAGTTTTAAAACCATCTGGTCCTCTTCTATGGATACAATGAAGAGTTTGAGAATCCTATGATCAAAAATATGTATAAAAAATTATAACTCCCGGAAAACTTCAAAAAAAAAAGGTCTAAAGGGTATGTGGATAAAATCAATTTTACACTCATTAAATTTTACAATTAATTAAGGTTAGATCTTAAAAGTAGTAGTTGATGCAGAGTTCGTTCCTTGTAGGTTACTTGTCCTTTCTCTTAGTTGGGTGATTTATGGCAACTTACTTTTAATATGCCAGATTCTAGACGACTAATTTCACATAGTATCCCGCACATATTTTTTTACACGAATATTTATAAAAAAAATGCGATTATTTGACAATTCAAAGAAAACACATTCTAGTGTTTGTTTGTTTTGTTTTTTTTTTTGTTGAAGTTCTCCCGTTTTAGGGAAGGCAAAGGGAACAATGCCCATACAGCCTGGTCTTTAATTAAATTAATCTTCTTTTTGTTTTTACATTAGAATGTCGGTGTGACGCATTCTAATGTTCCTTGGAGTATTTGGCACGAAATGTATCGAGTTGGCTTTTTCGATAAGCTTCTGTGAGGTAGTCAACACTACAATAAAATTCTCACGTCCACTTGACCGGAATAGCGTATATTTTAATGATTTCACTAATTCTTCAGTTACGCAGACAGTTGTTACACAAAACCACACCAATTTTATTTCACAATATCCACTATGAACGAATTTAAGAATAATTAAAATAAGACGCCAACCGCACTCGATGAAATCCCGCCAAAAAACCTTGTTTGTTTTGTTTTTGCTTGCTGGCACATCACATGGCTATTCGTATTTGCTAGTTGTCATTTTTGACAGTAGACTGTCATTGGTGTCGATTCTAGCACGATTCTCTAAACCTAAACTTAAATTCGACAGCAGTATATCCTTGTCATTCGCTATACAGAATAAAAAGGAGAGACTGATGTTAAATTTAGAATTAAGTTTAGAGAATCACGCTAGAATTGGCACCATTGGTGTCGATTCTGGCGTGATTCTCTAAACTTAAAACTAAATTTAACATCAGTCTCACCTTTTCATTCTGTATAGAGAAGGACAAGGATGCACTGTTGTCAAATTTAAGTTTAGCTTTAGAGAATCATGCCAGAATCAACATCACTGTCAAACTAAAGAAAATGATTCTCTAAACTTAAAATTACATTTAACATCAGTCTCTTCTTTTTATTCTGTATAGCGAATGACAAGGATATACTGCTGTCGAATATTTATTTATTTATCAAATACAATCATACACATACAAATTAAAAAAAACCATACACGAAAACCTGTTAAGGTTTATATGTGTATGGGAGCCACTCATTTACCACTTTATACACTTTCAAGTTGACTATTGAAGTTATACTTCTTTAGGCGCGTTATGAAAAAATGATGAGAGTGAAATTTTAAGATGCGCGCGCATCACTGTAACACAAAAATTAACAGCACGAAGTTGGTCGCTTTAGCGACTAACTTCATGCTGTTACTTTTGTGTTTACCGCACATTAAGAAAATCTACCAATAAAATGGTTGCCTGTAAAGTCGGTTTTACGGGCGAAGATTTTACGTGACAACGTCTTTTTCTCGGTAGAATATTTATTGATATGAATATAATTAAATTGCACAATAGGAACAAGGAATTGAATGAAAATAAGAATTGCACAAATTTTAACTATAGAAATATATTTTGTTTACTAAAACATTGTACATGTAAACTTAAACTTAACACGAGAGACTCATCGTAACGTTACCGAGCGTTACACTTTTTCATAAGTGACTCCCAGCCGCAACCTAATTTAAGACGTTGTCACGTCAAAATAGAAATAGTATCTCTATTTAGTGGGTGCTAACGACTGCATTGTGAAGGCCTATCAAAAGTATTTATTAATCTGGAACAACGGAACCAAAGCGCGATTCAGGAGGCTACAGCGCCATCTCTTGACCATTGGTGTAGTAGAACCAAAAACCACATCTTTATTTTTTGTAATAAAGTAACATTTATAGGTATTCATATTTATAATATCAAAAGTATTTATTAATCTGGAACAACGGAACCAAAGCGCGATTCAGGAGACTACAGCGCCATCTCTTGACCATTGGTGTAGTAGAACCAAAAACCACATCTTTATTTTTTGTAATAAAGTAACAGTTATAGGTATTCATATTTATAATATTTATCCACATGTTTCTAGTTTGTATATTCGGAATACGTGTTTGAGTTTCATACAAGTGCAAATCACATATGTTCTAATAAATTATATTCAGTAGCGATTTTAATTGAATATTTTGATTATTTATTTATTTTTTCAAATTAAAACTGAACTTTATTGACTGTGTCCTTTTCCAGACTTTTTATTAATTTATTGTAATTAATTATTTGCATGCAATTAAAAACTAATTTTAAACGATGCCAAAGAAGGATAACTTCTCACGCGCCTACATAAGTACACGCACCCATTTTTTTTGTAAGTAATAGCTTTTAAATTTATATTTATTGATTACAATGTTCGAGTACATTTCCTGTAGATTACTAGGCAATTCATTGAGATAGGAAGGTATTAAATAATATAAGTTTAGGTTTAGAGCATCAAGCTCGAATCGACACCATTGTTTTCAAGTTTTAAATTTGTATTAATACCGAGCAATCTCTCTCATATCGTGTCTCTCTCACTACGGGATATTGTAATTGAAACAGCCACAGAACAAAAAAAAAGTTTACAATAGCAAAAAACTGATACAACATTTAATGCCGGTGCAACTAATAGTCAAGTGAAGTACTTAACTATTAGTGGTTGGTAGTAGTGTATTTGATATCAGTCTATCCTTTTTATTCTTTGTAGAGCATGATAAGGACAGACTGGTGTTAAAATGTGTTGCATGCGAGAACGCAGGGCTGCGCTGAGTTACAAATTCCTAACTTACGCTGTGCAACACAAATGTGAATTTTGACCTTGAATAAACAGTGTAGTAGACTACAGGTTGCCTGCTTTTTCTCGCGCTTGTTTTCTGAGTCTGAATCTGAATCTGAATCAGGAGTGCACTCTGGCCGTACCCTTCGACTACACTGTTTATTTCTCGCGCTTGTTTTCGGAATCTGAATCTGAGTGCACTCTGACCGTACCCTACGGCCAACAGGAGCAAAGATTCAACATTGATTCTGCAACAAACCAACCGGAAATAGGCCACAGTAGGAATAGTAAAATTGTGCGAACGCCGAACTCATGGCGAACTGTTGCTGACGTTTTTTTTTTGTGGTTTTTGGCCTGGACTCTATGTATGCTTGACGCATCGTTGCATGGCTCACGCAATACATTTCAACGTCGCTCGTCGATATAAAAATAATTCAAAGTGATGATATGTCAAACTAATTAAAAAATAGGTAGTTTTTAGGTCTAGGGTGGTAGATAGGTAGACTGAAGTGAAAATTGGTAGATCTACCAAAAAGTTGGTAGATATGGCAGCACTGTGCGCGCATCACCGTAACACAAAATTTTAACAGCATGAAGTTGGTTGACTTTTGTGTTTACCGCACATTAAGAAAATCTACCAACAAAATAGAAATAGAATCTCTATTTAGTGGGTGCTAACGACTACATTGTGAAGGCCTATCAAAAGTATTTATTAATCTGGAACAACGGAACCAAAGCGCGATTCAGGAGGCTACAGCGCCATCTCTTGACCATTGGTGTAGTAGAACCAAAAACCACATCTTTATTTTTTGTAATAAAGTAACAGTTATAGGTATTCATATTTATAATATCAAAAGTATTTATTAATCTGGAACAACGGAACCAAAGCGCGATTCAGGAGATTACAGCGCCATCTCTTGACCATTGGTGTAGTAGAACCAAAAACAACATCTTTATTTTTTGTAATAAAGTAACAGTTATAGGTATTCATATTTATAATATTTATCCACATGTTTCTAGTTTGTATATTCGGAATACGTGTTTGAGTTTCATACAAGTGCAAATCACATATGTTCTAATAAATTATATTCAGTAGCGATTTTAATTGAATATTTTGATTATTTATTTATTTTTTCAAATTAAAACTGAACTTTATTGACTTTGTCCTTTTCCAGACTTTTTATTAATTTATTGTAATTAATTATTTGCATGCAATTAAAAACTATTTTTAAACGATGCGAAAGAAGGATAACTTCTCACGCGCCTACATAAGTACACGCACCCATTTTTTTCTATAAAGAGAATGACAAGGACACACTAGTGCCGATTCTAGCGTGATTCTCTAAACTTATAACTAAATTTAACATCAGTCTCTCCTTTTCATTCTGTATAGAGAATGACAAAGATGCACTGTTGTCAAATTTAAGTTTAGCTTTAGAGAATCATGCCAGAATCGACATCAATGTTGTCAAATTTAAGTTTAGCTTTAGAGAATCATCCCAGAATCGATACCAATAGCAACCACTAATAGTCAAGTGAAGTACCGGCATCACATGTTGAATCAGTTTTTTGCTATGGTAAACTTGTGTTAGGGTGCGGCCAGAGTGCACTCAGATTCAGATTCAGATTCCGAAAACAAGCGCGAGAAATAAACAGTGTAGTCGAAGGGTACGGCCAGAGTGCACTCCTGATTCAGATTCAGATTCAGACTCAGAAAACAAAGCGCGAGAAAAAGCAGGCAACCTGCTTAGACTACACTGTTTATTTCTCGCGCTTGTTTTCAGAATCTGAATCTGAATCTGAGTGCACTCTGGCCGCACCCTAACACAAGTTTACCATAGCAAAAAACTGATTCAACATGTGATGCCGGTACTTCACTTGACTATTAGTGGTTGCTATTGGTATCGATTCTGGGATGATTCTCTAAAGCTAAACTTAAATTTGACAACTTTGATGTCGATTCTGGCATGATTCTCTAAAGCTAAACTTAAATTTGACAACAGTGCATCTTTGTCATTCTCTATACAGAATGAAAAGGAGAGACTGATGTTAAATTTAGTTATAAGTTTAGAGAATCACGCTAGAATCGGCACTAGTGTGTCCTTGTCATTCTCTTTATAGAAAAAAATGGGTGCGTGTACTTATGTAGGCGCGTGAGAAGTTATCCTTCTTTCGCATCGTTTAAAAATAGTTTTTAATTGCATGCAAATAATTAATTACAATAAATTAATAAAAAGTCTGGAAAAGGACAAAGTCAATAAAGTTCAGTTTTAATTTGAAAAAATAAATAAATAATCAAAATATTCAATTAAAATCGCTACTGAATATAATTTATTAGAACATATGTGATTTGCACTTGTATGAAACTCAAACACGTATTCCGAATATACAAACTAGAAACATGTGGATAAATATTATAAATATGAATACCTATAACTGTTACTTTATTACAAAAA